TAACTTTCTGATCTAGAAACCACACTTCATAATCTTTTTTGGCAGGAGGATGGAGGTGTCATGTACTTGGTGGTGCGCAGATGCTTTCCTCCTAAGCCCCACATCTTTTTCATCCAGCCACCAAAAGAAGTTGATTCTAAAGGCAGATTTAGTGGTAGGTACATGGTTATGTATTATCTAGTTAAAGAAACATGTTTTATTTAGAGAATGTTAAAATAAATTCAGACTGAAAACACAGTCCTCTATTTGACTAGTTAATCCTCTTCTGCACCTCTCTCTCGCATTTGTATTTTTTGAATATCTAATTCCATTTAGCTAGTTAGTTTATTTCTTAAACTTCTAGCAGTGGAAGTTTTAAAAAGAGCCATGAATGAAAAGGAATAAAACAGAATACAAACCTCACACAGCAGCTGCCTTGTGGAACCTTAAAACCGATTAGTGCCATTTTCTGTAAGGTTCAGATCAGATGTGATTATCTGGAAAGTCAGTGTTCCAGAATAAATGTCAAGCAGCATGATTACCAAAAAAAAAGGCAAGTGGTATAGATGACTTTCAAGCCTTGCAAAGCTCAGTGTGAGAGGTCCTTATCCCTCCTTATGACTATCCTTTGACAGAAACCGAAGGAGCACAAAAATTGCCAGTGGAAATTGATTCCATACAATCAATAATTTTGATTTTCATGCTGCCACAATTCAGTAGTAAATTAGGAATCAGAGGATCTATCAAGAAATGCCAGATGGTTCATTACAAAATACAGCAGCTGTCCTTTTTCCTCCACTGACTCATTTTAAACTGGTGGAAAATGAAGTTACTTTAATCTCCCCTGTACAGCTCTATAATAAAAACAGACACCAAAACAAAGGTTGAGATATCCAGCTAGTCACTGGATTCAGGTGAATCCGTTCTACCATCATGATGCAATGCAGTGCAATCACTCAGCCGTTTCACAAAACAACTCACGTATTTCCACCGTGATATCTCTGCTCTCAGCACCGTACTGGCCCTTGTCCAGCAGAGCTCATGGTGTCAGGGCAGACAAGCAGACAGCTGTCAGGATAAACCGGATCAACATCTATACAGGTGAGCTATGGAGGACATGAATCAAACACGGGCGTTGTACCTCAAGCCCAACATGGGTAGTTTGCATGATTCTCATTAGATGCCACGTCAAAGGTGGCCCCTCCCTTAAGTCCTGGGAGTGAAAAACCAAGGCAGTTTTAGAAGGATGTACGTGAATGGCTTGAGAAAAACAAAAACAAAAACAAAACACTTCTTACTTTAACAGATTAGCAATACACCTACTTCCAAAACACCCCTGTATTTGAACAGAAAGCAGGGGATAAAGAAGTTACTTAACAATCATATCAATGTTTACTATCTTTGGATTCTACCTTTGCGAACCCAATAGCTCAGAACTATTAATAAATAAATCCTTGGGGTTAATAAAGGATAGGTTCTTAGATACACTGGACTAAAACTCTTTCCTTTTTCAATTTAGTTGTATTACTTAAGGGCTTAATTGTATGTGTTTTAAGAATGTAACAGCTGAAGAGTATTCTTCAGAGCTCAGTCTCAGTTATAACAGCACAGCCAAACTCTTTTCACTAAGGTTTAGCTAGAGATAACAAATCTATCCCTCAGCCAAGCATGAAGATGCAAGCAGTATAAAAAGAAGTGGTCCGGGGGGACATTTTTCACAATGCCTCACAAAGAAAGCCCAGTTCATTTTCAAGTTAATTCTTTCCAGTTCCCTAGCTAAAAAAGACAACTTAATTCCTGTCGCTAGGTGAGTATATCAGCAAAGTTTAAAATGCAGCCCAACAAAAAAAAAATTATATTATTTGCTCACCTATGTAGCTGGATTATATGTTTATAAATTTCAATCTTCTGAAAACTTTTGGAAGATGAGTCAAATGTATCATGGTTAGACCTGCAGCCACAATTTCTCCACACTAGCAATGTAAATTATATTGGTTCGGGAGTTAAGTGCACACGTTCCTCTGAGAAAAACATAAATAATAACTTTATGAACTTTATAAAAATGTAGTCACACAAGTTCCTTTTTCGTGTTTGGAAATTGCCAGGCACCTCTGAGTGTACTGGTTATTCTGGACAAAAAATGGTTTTAGGCACCAGAATCCCCTTTTTACTTTCAGACACTCGGTATCTCATCTTTCTGTTACTGTCTTTAAGTGTCTATGATGAACAAGAAATCAGTGAAACTAAGCAACAGATCAACAAAAGTGGAATCAGTTCTAAAATTTAGATATGGCATTTAGATATTGACATACAGGACTACAAAACTCAAAAGAGAGCTTTTTTCTTTATTTCTAAACAATATATAATTTAAAAATAAAGTTTAAACATTTCCTTGTAGCATTATTAATTCAAATGTTGTTGGAATGTGAAAATAACTCATTTTTCCTCCTTAAGCTGTTTGTTTCTTAACGTTATTTCCACTTTAATAACCTACAGTTTTAATAAACACTTGAGACAGAATTTCTTTAAATGTCTACATATTAAAAATCTCTCTTCTTTCAAGTATTTTTAAAAGATGGTTAAATTGATCCACTTTGCAAGACAATGTTTATACTACCTCTTTTTAGCCGTATTGTAAACTGAATGCAATCTGTTCTTTAACATAATCCACAGCTGCTTCAAAGTGTCCTTTCTGAAGCTCTAGCCCTTTCTCAAAGGATTTTAATGAAGAATGTCTTTAATTAGTATTCAAGTACATTTTTATTCATTTTATAAAAACCTGGTTTGAGTAGAGTTCTCATCATTGTAAATAACTGAATAAATATTAAACTCTTAAAAATTATACTGGAGAGCAGTAAGATAATTTATACGCCATTCTTCCAGATTTCCTTTACTACTGCTTTTCAGCATATCTTTTTCTTCCTCATCTCGCTATAAAGCTTGAAAGACTCTGTTGTGCACTGGAGAAGACTAATGGTTAAATTTTGTCAAAGCTGAATGTTATATGTAACACTGGCTTCACAGAACACTGACAATCATAAATGCTGTTAACTCCCTTTTATTGGGTCCTTTCTGTCCCAGGACCAGAAGCACAATACAGAGCCAGTGGAGAAACAGTCTAAGAAATCTGTATTTTCTCCTTTGATTAGCTTTAGTTAACCACTCACTGACTTATTTGTTGTACTTAAGCATGTACATGCAGCCTAAGAAGATGGTAAGCAAACAAAAGTTAAGTTTTCCAGCCTGCCTGTTCTTTCTTCATCTGTGAAGAACTTTTACCAAAAATCTGGTGTTCTCTGTCTTTATTTGGACTGAGATGTATTATCTCTACCTCTAGATGGAGAAACAGAGGTAAAGTTACATGGGCTGAAATCACATAGTCAGCCAATGCCAATTAGTAAAATATGCCTTTTCAACTACTGTTTTACATTAAGTTTAATAACTTCTGATTTTCATAGCACTTGCCACTTAGATTGAGTCTTTGTGCAACATTGGTTTTGTAAGCTAACTTCTATATGTTCACGTTATCACACAGTGGATGGTCCTGAAGTTTTAGTGGTCTCCACCTGCATTGAAACTATCACCCTACTCAAAGCCCAAACACCAACTTTTATTGTTTTCTGAATATATAATCTATTTGAGTGATGTCTTCTGTAGCACTAGCCCTGAGAATCTGTGATATTTGTAATACAAAGTTGATGTCCTCAGTATAACAGACACAAGGAGCTCCTGAAGCAGATCCAGCAGAGGGCTATCAAGATGATTAAGGAGCATCTGTCTTAGGGAAAAGACTGGAGGAGGTGCGCCTCTCCAGCCTTTGGAAAGGGCACTTCATCAATGTTTGTAACTATCTAAAGGGATGCCAAGAAGATGGAGCCAAGCTCTTCTTACTGCTGCCAAGCAATAGGACAAGAAAGCAACTGGGAGAAACTGATGCACAGAAGTTCCACCTGAATATGAAGAAGAATGTCTTTACTGTGCGGGTGCACTGAAAGAGACTGCCCAGAGAGCAATCCCACTGGAGATGTTCAGGAACACAATGCTGCTTGTGAGCAGGCAGGTTGCACCAGATGACCCAGCGTGGTCCCTTCCAACCTGACCCATTGTGTGATTCCATCGTGCACGAGGGAGGTAATGCTGCTTCACTGAGGTGGACGGAACACCTGAAGGAACGGGCGAGCCTGGGTATTTTCCTGCGCGACTTTCAACTCGGGGCGCGCCGGGCGTTTGGTCGCACGGTCTGGCAGTTCCACACAGAACCTCGTTGCCCGGGGCGCCCCATGACCCGCGGCTGCGGCCGGGCCCGGCAGCTTCGCACGGGGGTTTCGGGCAACATGGGAGCAGCACCGCGGCCGTGCACACAAACCAAACCACCACCGCCCGGCCCGGCGCTGCAGACACCAAGGCACCGCGGTGCGCAGCAGCCACGCTTGCCGCGCCCTTGCTGAGCCCCGCCCCGTCGGTGGGGTTTAGGCTTGTGGCCGGCACCGCTGACTCGGCGGGAGGTTGAGCGTGGTGGGGTAGGGGGCTCTGTCGGGTTCTGGACGGCTCGGCGCCTCGCCCCGGTACCTCGCCCTCACGCCGCTGCCGCCATTACCCGCCGTGGCGGCAGCTCGGGCCTGCGGGCGGGTGGGCAGGCGGCGCTTGGAGGAGGCGTCGAGGAACGGATCGGTGGAGGAGCGTAGAGTGTGAGGGGGTGTCGCGGGTGGCTGCGGTCAGCGGCCGCCTTGAGGCTGGGGAAGCACGCAGCTTCTTCCTCAACAGCCCTGCTCTGTGAGGGGTTGTTGCGGGCTGGGGGGACGGGAGGGCTGTCGGGAGGGGCTCGCCTGTTGCCGTGGGCTTTTCCCGAACGGCCTAGGTTTGCTGTCAGCTAGGGGCCCCCCCTCCGGGTGACCCGAGAGGCCTGAGAGGGTTTGTGCCCCCCTCGGGGTTGGGCCTGTGCCCGCCGCGGGTGCCGGTCTTTCACTGGGGTGCACCGGGGAGCGGGTTTTGTGCGTTGTGCTGCTGCTCTGCGCCCCGACATGCCGCGGTTGAGGTCGGGGAAAATGGTATCAGCCAGCGCGGTGAGGCCGGAGGGCGCCGGCCCCGGCTCCCTGGGTGGAGGGTGTGAGCCAGGGAGAAAGCAGGTAGTGAAGGTGAATCCTCGCCTGGCGGGGAAGAGAAAAGCAGAGCAGCCCTTACCTACCTGCGTGCAACCCGCCAGGCTCGCCAGCGCTTCTTTGGGGCGGTTTGCTCTTCTTGAGCCCGTGCAGGAGGAGCAAGGTGAGAACAGCCAGGAATTCCCAGGTAGAAAGAACAAGGGGATACAGCACAGGAGGGCTGCCAGGAGCAGTAATGGTGTGGCTCCGCCAGTTTCAGACGCCACTGAGTGTGAAGATCGGCAGGCAGCAGGTACGGGTGCAGCAGTAGGCTGTGAAGAGACTGTAAGGAGTGGGACAGGGCAACGTCAACAACTAATTTTCTCAGGAACTACTTTGCAGAATAAGTTCTCAGCAGGGATTGAGAGGAAGGAACATTGCTCAGACCACCTGGACCTCTCAGTTTTCCAAGAGGATTCAAGGAGCTCAGAAAAAGACGGCAACTACTGCTGTATGGAAATAAAATTACAAATTCCATCCTCGGAGGAGGAAATTGAGAGGTCAGAGAGACATGGCATTTGCTGTCTTCCAGAACCAGGAGGGCTGCAACCCGGAGAGGTCACGTGGAGTACTGAAATGAAATGCACTGACTCAGTAATGATGCAGAATATGCAAATCCCAGATATTGGGGAGAATTTGGGGGGTCAGGAAGCCATGACTGAAACAGAACGTCAGGAAGAGACTGATATACCAGAGAAGTTGAATGAGTGTCCTTTAGTTGGATCAAGACAGCAAGGGACACAGGAGAAAGGAAAGAAATGCTTGAACAAGAAATGTGGGATATCATTGATGAAACCAAAACTATGCGGTTCCAGAAAGAAAGGTAGTTCTGCCTTGCTAGAACTGCATGCACAGTGTCCTGAGTCCAGGAAAGGAGCTGTGAATATGAGGAAAAGGGATAGAAGTGCACTGGTACAGAGTGTAGATGGACAAGAACAACCACCAACCAGAGGAAAGACATACAAGCATTGCATGAAAGAAGAGTGGCAGAGCTCAGTCCCCCAGAAAGCACCAGACAGCTCGGGGGAAAATGGTAAGCACTAGGAGAACCCCATTGTGGAAGTACAGGTGCACCATTTGGGCTCCCAGGGCAAGGGACCAGTGTTGCAGTTACGACCCCTTTAAAAACTGGCTGCTAACTTAGCTCAAGAAGTGAGGGGTAAGAGCTAGGGTGTGCTTCACAGCACTGTGAATAGAAGGCTTGGAAGAAAACAGATTTTTAGAAAGAGGAAAGGCTTTTCTTGAAGGAGAAGCAGCCTTTAACACAAAGAAGAGGAGACCAGTTAGCTTTTGAGGGGTATATTAGGAGGGAGGAAAGGGTAGGGAGAGGGAAGAAGTAAAGGCAGCAACAGGCACTGGGTAAGAAGTACTGGAATTTGCTTCTCTCAAAAGCATACTGCCCATTTCTTCAGAGAAGGTCAGGCACAAGCAGGAAAGGAGGCAGTAGTTTCAGCAAAGCCAAAATAAGGGTCAATTCTTTGTTCATTTGTATATTGTCTGTTTATTTTTGAATATGTATCATGTTGTCTTGTTTCAGTGCCTGCTTTTACAGGATGCTGGGTTTTGTTTCCAAAGCTTTTTGCTTTTTAATTGCTATTACCTGAAATCCCAAAAGATGTAGAAACAGTGAATTTTCATCTTTTAAGTGACCGTTGTATCAAACTGGAAGAATTTTGAAGGGGGATTTTTAAAAATCTCTTTATTTTTTCACAATGATTGCCTAAAAGACATTCTTTTTATTTTCAGTGTGGGTACATTCAAATGACAGATATTTACTGTAAATTATTAATAAATGTTTTATTTAGAAACCATATTCTGAAAAACTTGGATCAAAATTGTATCTTTGAAACCTAAGATCTAAAAAACCCTACATCCTACTAGCATGTTCTTGAGTACATTCACTAGTCTAAATTTTCAGATGTAGTGTTTTTTACATAACCTGCATTTGCTTTTAAATAAAAGGTAGTAGTCTATAAAAATGCAAGTCCTGCAGTTTTGCTGGATCTTCTTGTTCAATCTAATGCATTTGGTTGGACTGTGTATCTGAAATATATTTTTCTGAATAAGCTGTCCTAGTACAGAGAATCTGCTGTGTAAACAAAAGATTTTAAGGCTGAGTATGTGAACAGCATCTACATTTTCTTGCCAGACTTGCTCTAATTCATTTCCACCTTTGTGGAATGTGTAACTTCCAATGTCCTTATGATGCCTTAAGGTTTTGTTAATCTTTGTATTTGTTTCTGAAGATAATACATTCTTTGTTACTCTAAGTCTGCTAATAGTGTTCATTTTAAAAAAAAAATGGTAAAACTTTACAGAAATATTTTAGCCTTATGCAGTGTCACGTTCTTCAGTAGCCTTGAATATTGGGGTTTGGGTTTTTTGTTGTTCTCTTCATAAAATATTGCAATACGGTAGTCTTTTAGTGTTTTCTTAAATGAGATTTCTGTGCTTTTTTTAATCAGGAAAGGAACAACTAAAAGCAATTGAGCAAGACTCCGGTACTTCACAGGCTGTGAAGAAGGTAAAGACAGAGCAAAACGGATCAGAAGACTCTAAGGAAAAGGAAGCTCACTGCTCTAAATGTCCTATGATTGTTGCTTTAGGTGAGACTCAAAGCAAGGGCTTTCTATGCCATGCTGTAACAAAAAAGTCTGGTGTGCAGTATAAAGAAAGGAAACCTAAGAAAAGAAAACCCAGAAATGGTGAAATCAAGGACTTGCAAGGTTTGACTGCAGCTGAAAAAGTGGTGAACACATCTGTACAATGTGATGCTGAACGTTGCAGAAATACCGTTAAACATTGTAGTGGCTCGCTCTGTGCAACAGAAAAGAATCCATCGGTGAGATTAGAGAACTGTAGTTACATCAATACATTAGTGAAGCTTTCAACTAGTGGAACTACCAGCAGTTATAAATTAAATGGATTCTTCCGTGTAGCCCATGGTACTGTAGAAGTGAGTGATACAACTTGCAGCAATAATAGAATGCCAGATGAGATATCACCCGTAAAAGATGGTTTATCGTCTAATAAAGAAAAAACTGAAAATGGAGAAGGCTGTCTTTCGTGCTGTCTGAATGAAAGCAGTAAGTGTTTAAGGGGAAAAAAGTGGAACATTGGTAGGAAGCCTAGGAAAAAGATGAAAATCACTGAGAAATCAGCACTGCAGAATACTTCCACAGACATGGCTAATGAATGCAGTGAGCGTGGGTTACAAGCAGAAGCAGCAGTTGCAATGTCGAGCTCCTTTGCAGCTTCAGGACTAAATCATACTCTGTCAGATTCATGTGATCATGGATTAAATTTTTATATGGGAAAAAGTACTCCTGAAGCACAAAATATATCAGCCTGGAGAACGAAGAGAACCAAATTACCTCCATTTGAAAATGGTTTTAAGAAGACATCCGAGCTCTCTGTAATAGCAAAAGGAGAAAATTCAAGCAGTGTGGCTCATCAGTCAGCTGCCTCAGGTACCCTGAGAGCTCTAGCTCAGGTCCGTGATACTTGTGATTGTCACAAAAGCAAGACAGGGGGAAAACTGAACAATGTTAAAAAGGAATTTCAGCAGTTTACCTGTCAAAGAGCAGTACCCATGACTGGTAAAAAAGTTTGGCCTGTTGAATCTTGTGCCAGGACTTCTGAATGGGTTTGTAAAAATCATGGGTCCATCTCAGGAGGAAAAAGACTTTTAGAAGCCGGCTTTGACTATTCCTCTGATAAAAGCAGTGTTAAAGCTGTAGGAGATAGTGCTGTGACTGGGAGTTTGAAACAACTGGATTTGCACATATCATCGGCAGACATTACAAAAGAATCTTCGCATAAAAGAATTGACCTAAATACTGAATGTCAGACTTCACTTGAAATGCCAGAATCCTCTTCTGTAGATATTTACAAGACTTTGAGAATGAGTAATGAAAATGGGGAGTCATCAGTTAATGCAGATAAAAGTGGTGTGGCTTTTAACCATGATGATATGCAAGAAGTTAAAGGAACCTTGAATTTTACAACCAAACAAAAAGATAAAAATGACAGAGATACAACAAATAGAAACTTGTCTGTGGCAGTCCAGAAGGGTACAAAAAACCGAAAAAATAAAAGTGAAGGAGATATAACAACTGAAAACCTGTCTGTGGCAGTCCAGAAAGGTACATCTACAAGTGACACAAACAGAATAAACTTCAGCTCTAATGTGTCAGTAGTGAACCAGATGTTTTCTGATTTAAAGCTAATTAAAGCAGTAAACCCTGGAAACCTGACAAAATTCAAAATTCCTTTATGCAGAAACAAACCTGAAGCCAGGAAATTGGAATCTGTCCACTCATTTGAAAGAAAAACCTGTAGTCCACTAGGGCTTGAAAACACTGGTGTTTCAAGAAGACAGAAGACAGGTGAAGAGACTGTCTTGGTAAATTCTGAGCAGCACCCTTTTCCTGTCACGAGTGATGCCGCATCTACAGCTTCCATAAAGAAGAAAGCATGTGAGATTGACAGTAAGGACTTTCAGCACGCTGGCTTTGAAAACCTCTCAAATGGGATGTCTGTCCTCCCCAGAAATTTTTCTACATATCCTCTTCTTGATGGACAACCAGAGTCATCTGTGCCTGATTTCTCTGGTTCTGAATGTGTGCTGAAACCTAGTTTTCCTGATCGTTCTTGGAATTCAGTTGACCACCTTGTTGGATTACAAATAAATGATGATAGCAAATCAAAAGGGAATCTTTCACAACACAAAAGTCAAAATTCACCAGATATTCTTGAAGCTTACAAGCAAGATATTCTTGTCATTGATGTGATTCAGGATGACCCTGATCTTTTTGGAACGAGTAATGAAGAGGAGGTAGCCCTTGCATGTGAAAAGTGTCCAGTGGAAGTGTCCTCTGCTAACCTCTGCATTACAGACACAAAGCAGGATATTAAGCCCGAGTCTCCCATTCCCTCAGAAAAGAGATACTCGCTTGAGAATAGTTCTGGGTATGCATATAATTGTTTTTATCTTACAATACTCTTAGGTACTTTTTTCTCATATCAGTATACTTTGGTTGGAGTGGTCAAGGTTCTTTAAAGAATAATTTCTGGGTTGATTCTAAGTGTCAAATTTGATTAAGCTATGGCAGTATTCTGAATGCAGATAAATTAATTTGTTCTTCATGAGAGCTTGGATAAACTGAATTGAAGGAAAACACGGTCCTAAAGGACTGGTTTAGACCAAGTGAATTGAAATCTGAAAGTATAAACAAAGATAATTGAAAGTAATATTCTTAATATGACCTGATTTGAGATAGCAGATTTTTTGGAGGTAGTTTTCTTATTTTTGAAGTGGTATAATAATTAGAAATGTTATTACTTTCTAGATAGCTTATTCTTTTGCTGGATCTGTAAGAGTAAATGGTTGTCTCTACAGTAGTATTCCATTCTGCCATTCTCCTTCCCTGTTTTGCTCCTATCCCCAGACATGTGAATAGTTCTCAAATGCGTAACTTGGCTGAAGTGTTACAGATGTTTATGATGCTGCACCTTCATTCAGCAAGTTCCTGCTGTAAATCATTAAGTGTTAATGTTTTTCTGGGTTTTGAGATGATAGTAAAAGTCACTGCAAGAGGAAGAGAAGTTTAAAGTAGAAACAAAATTTTGTAAATGAGGTACTATTTCTTCAAGGAGTAGATGAACTCATCAGCTGTCTAGTCTGTTTTCTCTCTAAGCTTTGAAATTCGTGTTCAGTGAAAGACTTTTAAACTGAATTTTTCATCTTACAAAGGAAAATGTAAAGTCTAGATAGAAAATAATACAAGATTTTCCTCTGAAGATTAGTTTTCTTATTGGGATGGGTGTTTTAATTTTCTTTGTGTGCTCCTTCTGGGTGGCTTTATGTTATCCATATTTTGTGTAATGTTTTAATTAATATTTTCAGTGTTGTGCCAACCACCTTATAACTGCATTCATTTATATGGTTTTCTTTACTCTTTGCTTTCCTTTCCCTTTCATTAGACCCATGTACAAAAGGGGAAAGGAATCTTCTTTATGGTGATGAACATGTGTTCATGGACACGAGAATATAAAACTTTCAGATGTTAAAAGAATAAAAATTCTGCCAAAACAAGCCTCTGGAGAACAGGGCAAGTCCGTAGTAGAAATGCCCAACTTCTTGAGATGCAGCTGGACTGTGTCTTAGTAAATTTATTAGAATGAGTATTCATTTTGGGTACAGTGTGTATGATATCTTTGTATACCAGAATTAGTATTTGCCGTATTTGTGCATTTTGCATTATTACCCAGGGTAATAATGGCTGTCCAGAGGTGGGTTCCAACTGACCAGACAGTTGTTGCACAGAATGGAAGACCATTTATACCTTTATACTGAGCCCTTTATACTCATGTATTGTTTATGGTAATAAGGTTTGCAGTTTATTGTTATGCAAATGGTCTTGAATATAAATTTATTTTGGTCTTGAATATAAAAATACGTCTCACTTTGCAGAAACTCATAAATTGGCTCATTATCACAGTATTTCCATAATTTGTGATAGAAAGTTTCCTAATTTTATTAATTAAATGAGATAATGAGCTTTTACTGAAAATTTGGGAATTTGAAATGTCTTGGTTTTACTTAACATGTTTAGGCATATACCTGTAGGGATGGACATAAGAAAACCAAAAGTTAAGAACAGTCTTACTTTGTATTTTATGTGCTTTATGTGTTGTATGTAAGGATTCTGTCCATAGCTTAAGCTATTACTGAGAACTTTAACGTAAGGAGTACATTAATTTTGTTTTTGTGCAAGATGGAAATCTTAAATACTCTTTTTTGTTCAAAACAGATGCATGCAAGAATCTGGAATGTCAAATGATACTGAAAATTCCTGTGATTTGGTGCTAAAAGGTGAGAGTCATTGGAAATTTCTTCATACATAATCAGAACATGAAAGTAACCACAAAGATGATCTGTGGCAAAACCTAGAGTTTCTGCTTCCTGCAAAAAAGAGGAACTTGTTAGTTCCTGTAATATCTTTTTATTGTAACAGCAGTTTGTTTCCTAATGGGTCTAAAATTGATGTCTTTTGAAATGGTACAAACCTGAGTAATACAGGGATCTACTGCTCTGTAGTACTTGTCTGTTGGTACTGTGGGGGTTTGGGGTTATTTGGTTGCTTGCTTGCTTGCTTTTGTTAGTGGTGTTTTTTTGACTTCTCTCTGATACTTTAGGCAAGGAATTCTGATCGTTGAGATCATAGTAATCATGCTAATTACTGTGATACTGCTTTGGAATCTGGCTCACATTTACAGTTGGCTGTTCTTGTGTTCGTCAGCACACAGAATTTTGTAATTCTTTTTTTTCCAGGTTGTCCTTTTCATCTTTTTGTGGATGCTATGCCCACTCCTCTGAGACACTGTTTTGTTTTTAAAGGATGCTTTTTTTTTAATAAGAGAAGGTTACTTCTGACTTAAAGTGTTTTTTTCATATTATTTAAAGCAAAACAGTCCAGCTAGGCAGCATATGAATGTGATTTGTTTTGTTTTCTACAGCTTACATACCAGACCTACTTTTCAGGTATATCTGATGTGGAAGTTTTTGTTAGACTGGAGGAACAAGATTTTGACTTTGAACAGAAGCACCTTATTGACATAGTAGAGAACACACAGAGTGCTGAGACTGGCTTTGAAGGTTCGCGGTGTTTCCCTTTCTGGGATCAGTTTGTCAGCTTGCTGTTAATCTGACATTCTGACATTATGTGTTGATTTCGCTGCAGGCTTGCAAGATGTTTGTGACAGTACCTCTTGTACTGGTTTCCCACATTAATGATTTATGATCATCTAGGAAGAGTGGTTTGGGCAGATGTAATCTCTTGGAGAGAAAGGAGGGACTAGTGACTATTTGAGGCAGAGAAGGTTTCAGGCTTCAGGGATTAGAAGGCAAAATAAAACGTAATGAGGTTTTAAGAGCTCAGATACTAAGAAACAGAAACAAATTCCCTGAGGATGGAGGAAGTTAGGCCTCTGGTGATATAAAGAACCAGAAGGGCCTGTGCCATGCATCTGCAATACTGAGGTGATTGAAATCAAACCTTATTGAGGTGATTGAAATCAAACCTTGGAGCAAGTCCTGTACTATTTAGTCACTTCTGCATTTTCTTTGTTGTTTTACTTCATGTTGTAGTGAAGTCTGAGGCTTAAAGTCTTTGGTTTTTCTTGTGCTGCTTAAAATAATGAAAAAGGCTTCAGTAAGGCCATCTTCCCAGATTTGAGAAACTTAGGATCACCTCACAGTCTTAGTGCACATGGTAACTTAATGTTTAATATATGACTTTCAAAAAAGACCTACACAGAACAAAAGAAAGTACCTGGTTTTGGTAATTACTGACTATTTATGCATTGTTTAAATTACTTTATTTAGTAATTAAAATGATTTATTGCTTTGTAAATAAAATTAATTATTGTTTTGGTGTCGTGTCTTAGTGAGGTCATGGCTGTTTTCCTCAGTGGCATCACTGTCTAAGCAGGGAAAAAAATACTACTATTAAAGTATTCTGGATGACATCAATCCTCTTTTTAAGTGGAAATCTTACGTACATTGTCTTTTGCCAGATGTGTCTTGTACTGGTGATCATACTGAGATCAGTTACTATAAGACAGGTGCCTTTCCAGTATTAATCTGATTCTTTCTTCCTGCATCTGGGCAACGCAGTGCAGTCGAACTTTAATTCACATGAATTTCTTTGTTATGCAGAACTTTTCTGTTGTACATCAACAGCTGCTTCAGGAGGTTGCAGTCAGGTGTTTTATTAATTTCCTGTGGCATCTGCAAAAGGTGGTGAAATTTCCTGACACTGAATTCTTACTGAGTTTACTGTATTACAGGAATTTGGAGTTTCTCAGAGCATCGTGTCATTACAATTAACTTATACCCTTTTCTAGCAAAGGCCAAGTCTTTTTGCGTAGCAAATTACCACACGTATCTTTGGCTGGGTCTTAATAAAAAAGCTTAACTGAATTTATTTCTAAAACACTGAATTCAATATCCTATAAATAAACCTGTTGTACTGTTCTGCAGGGACCATTACAGTACATACAGCGTGGATAGAATTTTAATTGCAGATTCAGCTTAATATTTATTTGAAATGGTTCCTGCCCTAAAAGTGAAGTATTTTTCCTTATAAATTTCACACTTAGGAAGTCCTAGGAGTTCTTAAATGTCATTAATATTAAGACTTTATAATATTTAGCATGGGAAACACATAAAGCAATGTGTTTATACATTTTCAGCTGAAGATATTAAAACCCACAACTCCTCCAGGGGAAGCAGTCCTTTGGGAGATGTTACTGAGGACTTTCTTAAAAATGGGCAACCAAGTGAACTGGATGAACTTTTGAAGAGTTTTGATGTGAATGAAAAGGTACTGAGAAATAATGCTTTCTATCTTTAAATATCTTAAGAAATTACAGTCCACACAATTGGATAATTTCAATTACTAATGCTGTTTTATCAACAAAATTTTTTAATTTCTTGTAATAAAAAGAATATTAGCATTTCATAGATTTCTGTGCAATTGGCAATGTAATTTTCGCTTAACTTGATTTTTGTTGTTGTTGTTACTAATAATTCATCTTCACATTTGAAATGAAACAGGATACTATTGTATCAGTTTTTAATCCTGTACCACCAATGGTATGAAAATTACTGTTCCAGTGAACACCTGAGTACTACTGTGCATGTGACATTTTTACATTACGTACCTAGTTTTAAAAGCTGCTGTTAAATGCTTCTCCCCACACAATCTCTGAAGGATGGCCTAGTGCTGGAAAGCTGGGGAGCTGTGTAGCCGTCATGATTCCAAGGAGGATCCTTCTGTGCCTCATTACAGTGGGCAGAAGGGCTATTACATTAACATACTGACTTCCTGGCAGTTCAGAGGGAATGTTAAGCCATTTTCATGCTCACTGACTTTATCTGACCTTTCTAGTCTCTCTACCCTCCCCCTTCTAAATAATAAGTCTAGGTCTTTTAATACTTGCTGAAATTTTATAGTGTTTACTTCTTTAATAAGGGATTGGAATTTACATCTCTCTGCTGCTCAGACATAGCTGCTGATGGCATTTACTGTTTTCCACTGCTTCAAGAGCAGGATAATGGTTTTAACTGGGTAAATTAATCTTAAAATTCACATGGTTAAAAATTGATAAGTAATTAAGAAGTTAATCAAACAGCAGAGAATCGGTCTCCTTTTCAAAATCATTATTTAGAAGAATAGACACATTTGCTTCAGCAAATGGAATTTGGGCTGCTAACATCTGATTCACAAAGTTAACAGTGCCACTTTGTTCCCTGACCTCTTAGAGAAAATAAAAGGATCTGTCAAATAGTACAGTTTGCTGAAGGTGTAGTACTTGTTGCAATATTGCCAGGTCAGTCCCAGCTGGGCTGCTTCATAGTGTTGTCTTTATAAAACCAGTGTCCTGCTGTTTACCTTTCTGTGCTGTTACGGACACAATCATTATGTGCAAATAATCTCAGCCAAACCTCTGACTTAACCAAACTTAAGCCCCAGAATACGTGCTAAGCCCTAAACCTGTTCTGCATGTGGACAGAAAACTATCTGTGCTGACTTGGGCAGGGAATGCAATGGCAGAACTCTTGTTGCAAGTGCTCTACTGTTTGGAGTGATTTTTGTATTTTGCTTTTTTGATGGCTTTTGCAGTTGATAATCCTGTGAGAAGGACAAAAACTAACCATGGAGAAAGTACTATAAACATTTGGGGAACTGCTAAAATGAAGTTTGGAAATCTGATGAGAGCGCATCTATCTCCAGTTCTTTGGCTGTCATAAATTTGCGATAGAATGGGAAGTTCCAGTTACTTCCATGAATAATGAACAAAACAAAGCCAGGATTCCACGACTTTGTTTTGTATTAGTCCTTTCAGATTCTTACTCCCAAATATATTTGGTGCTATTTTCTCCGTATCATTGGGGAATTTTTAACTGTACAACGTGGTACACAGCTGAGCAAAAGCCTTAAATTCCTCCCTGGTGCAGCTTTAAATTTCATCAAACTTGATGGAATGTCTTTTGTGGGTTTCTACACATCTGTCAGGGACAGTTAAAATTAGGCAGTAGGCCTAAAAATTTCTGGGATTATCAATGGGAGCAGAGAAGTCAAGATGGTCACATCACTTTTTTTCCCAATTAACGATCACTGTTGTAAAGATCAAGAGCATAATGGCAATATGTACCTTTTAAAATGTGTTGTAAGAGTAACCCTGCAATCCAGATTACAGTTTCTACAGTCAAGGCTATATTATCACACCTTTCAAGCACCACTAACAGTTTCAAGTGTGTGGAGTAAAGCATAACAGGCTTAGTAGTGCTTGGTTGTACCTGAAAATAACTTTTAGATGTCTTCACAGTTCAAGTTTGCAGATGGAGTGCCTGATGTTAAACAAGAAAAAAAGAGTGAAGCTGAAAAAAGGTATATATAATGTGTCCTTCATGTAACCTGTGTGTTCCCCAGTTACTGTACAAACAAAACATGATGTTTTTACCAAAACACCATCAGTGTTTAATTCAATTTTTCTACTGCAAAAGTTAATCCTGTCCTGACCAGAACCAGGACACCGTAATTTTCGAGAAACCTTAGTAATAATGGAGAAACCTTTGGTGACATAGAAGAGTACTGGTTTTTTTCCGACACCAGTCACAATCTGTGAGAGGTGAGAGGTGTACCAGAAGTCTGGTAATGGAGAATACGGTGTATTTTCATTAATCCACTAGAAAGCTCCAAACTCCTCCTCCTTGTAAAACACTGTTGAAATTTACTTTCTTTATGTTATAGAATAAGTAGATTATGCTGATTAAAATATGTTTGGGCAAGTGATTCTGCATTACTTCACTACTTTAGTTGAAGTGCAGCACTCTGTGTGGTTAAAGAAGAGACCTTCATTTGGAGTCAAACTGTTTTCTCTAGTTTTACCCAAAAATGTTACCACTGCAATGTTTCATGTAGAAGAAAACGGAGTTGCTGTTCTTATTTAGCAAACTCCACTCCTAGTGATGCTGTTACTTAAAAAAATAAATTGACTGCAGAGCTATATAGTTTACAGTCCCTGGCAAAATTGTGTGTCGTTTCATATTTAGATTAAAAAGAGATCTGAGATTGTTATTCTGAAGGTAAGTTACTATGAAAATCCTGTTATCAGATCAGAGGCTGGCATCACAAGGAAGTATGAAAAAAATTTTACATAGTAACTTGAAATTTCTGAGTAACTAAATCTGCAGATTTTTTTCCCCTCTGGAAACCAACCCAATGCATTTAAAAATAAAGATGGATCTTGAAGAATTTGGATTTATTAGATAGAATTTCTTCTTCTCTGCCACAGCATTTTCATTTCAAACTGTATTGAGAACAACCTGCACTTTAGGAACAGTTTGAATTATCCTGGCTGTGAGAAGTATGAAATAGCTAGAATGTGCCCCTCATAGGGGACAGCAATGCTGCTGCTGTCTCCAGAGGGCAAGCAGGTTGAAGTGTCCTTTGTAGTGGACCAGGATTCTTAATTGAAAGGGGGAGGGGAGGAAGATCTCATGAAAGGGGATGATTGTTTTTCCCGTGGCTTTGTTTCCAAAGAAGAAAGAGAATACCAAGTATTTGGCTAACAATATTTTTAGGTTATTTTTGAAAACATCACATTTAGTAGTTTAATTATCTCGAATGAACATATTTGGGATAGTTAAAGAACAGTCCTGAAGTGGAGTTCACTTTGAAATCACCTAAATCTTCTGCCCATTAGAATCAGGTTTTAGAAAAGGAAACAGTTGGCTCTTCAAATGTAATTTGAAAAGCTTTGTGGTTTACTACTTTGGCAGATATTACATAAGAGACTGGTAAAGGAGGTGCTTCTTCAGAGATGACAGAAATCATCTCAGTCTTCCTGTCAGCTTAGTGGGAAAAAGCCCCAAAACTCAAAAGTGGTTCACAGGTGCCTTTTCTACTTATTTATTGAATTTCATGTGGTTATGCTTTAGGACAGAACAATCTGAGCTAAGATGATAATCAAATTGGACCAGGCAATGTGAGTAATGAAAGTCAAGTTGCTGGGACTGCTAGCTGTTTAAATTTACAGCAAGTTTTGAAGTGTATTGTAAATTGTGAAAGAAATTCTCATGTTTTATACACTTAATCCCTCTTTTTAGGCATACAGTATATGAGAGAACACCTGTTTACTTAGTTAAAGAATTTTTAAATTTTTTTTTAATACTCAACAGTGACTGTAAATACAAAGATCTTGTGAACTGTGAATTGCTATCAGGATCACCACTGAATGACCCGAAAGTAAATATCTTCAGTGAAGCTACGGCGATGAAATCCTGGACAAATGGTATTGTATGCTGTATTGGTGAACCCTCCAGAATTTATTTTTTTCATGAGCTTTATTTACCTATAAAATCTTACAGATAGTCTTCATTTCCTGAAGGCGTTGGCTGAAATTTTAGTTTGCATATATAAAAGCAAAACTGCAAGCTCTCATATGATAGGTTAGTGAGGGGTTTTGGTTTGGTTTTCTAGCAGAATTCTATTTGGTAGGGTCAAATAGCAGTCATTCTATCTTGCCATTCATGGTTCTCAGACACTTTAATGGTGCAGCAGTGTCTGCATTCCTGGTAGTTTGACACATTATGTTTGAGCCATGTCATCAGCAAGTAACTTGTTTTTCTCTGTTTGTGGTCAGAGAACATGACTGCAGATCTTCTTGGTTGGTTGTTGTTAACATAACTTGCTAAAGTGATTTACCCGCTTTGCTGAAGGTCAGAACTTTGTTGTTTATGCCAATTCAAATGTTTGTGAGGCATTTGCTAGGCTGGATCAAGGAAATTATGTAGATTTACTAAAGAGCACTTCAGTGCATTTCACACCTGGGACAGATACCTCTTCAGTGTGTCTGCCGCCAGGGAAATCATAATGTAATGGAACTGTAGTCACTGCACATAACAAATCTGACATTTAGCCTTACATAAATGCATGGTTTATTTGGCATACAAGGTAGAGAAAACCAGGAATTGATTACTTATGGATAGGTACTGTATTCTGTTTCTTTGCAACAGCTGCTTTGGGAATTCATGTTTTTAGAATTTAGATTAATACATGTATTTATAAACATGGATTTCCTGAATTAAGATCAGTGACAGAGATTCTTGCTTAGTTTCAAATTCTGCTGCAAGTCTGAGCTTGTAGAATGATTTTATCATCATGTCCTTTAACAATATTTTCAGGAAGTGCAAGAAACAGATACTGTAAAAAGCAACTGTGAAATACTTCTTCAGACTCAGTTGTTTGAAACTGCTCATGTCTTTGGTCTTAAAAATGCATACATCTTCTGAAGAGTTCTTCTAAATCTTCTTTCTTAAAATCATTCAAAACAGTTGCCAAAGCAAGAGTTTCTGTGCTAGGACAAGGCAAAACAGCCGTTTATTCCCAGAACTGTGCCGGCAGGATTGACTGTATCACTTTAGTACCTGCTTCCCTACAAGTTTGACCTACAGTCAGCAGGGAGAGTACAGACTCTAGAAAGGACCTGGTCAGAAACTCTTTGCTTTGAGGATGGCAAGAATCTGTAGGAAAGACTTCTGAGATCAAGTTCCAAGTGTGTTTTTCTGCAGTTAGCGGTTGGCTGTTTTCTCAGTCTGTCTTGTCACTAAATGTATCCAAACCTGAATTTCTGAAATTGCCCACCATCACTGCATAAAGTTTTGCAACTGTGATAGTGTGTAACATTAAATATTTAATTGTTCTACCTCGGGTTTCTCCTTCGTATCCTGGGATAGCCCTCTCTGTTTAGAAAGACGTGCAGAATGAGAACCATGTACCTAGTACAAGTCTCTTGTAGAACCTTCATTGTTTCATACTCTTTAATAACTATAGTTTGTCAGAAAGAGCTAAGCACCCTGCCTTTTGAACACCCAGTCCTTTGGAGGGGCCAGATGGGAACCCTAGAAAGCAAAGCTTTCAGAAGCTCTTATTTCTCTTTAGATATGGAGTTGAAAATTTTAACTTTTATCTTCCATTAACATTATTCATTTTTCAAAGAAAGAAATCTGTTATTCAGTAATAATTAAAGTTATAAAACGAAGTTTCATGGTGAAGAAACCAGTAATTTACATTGGGCCTCAGCTTGCTACTGCACTGCTTAAGACATAAGAATATGAAAGGTTTTCTTTCAGTTCTGAAAAAAACAGTTTAAATTATGGCTAGTGATGTTGGAACACAAAGATTACTGATAAAGTGGGTGAGTTATTTTTCCTTTTGAAATTTAAACCTCTGGATATTTTTATTTCGTTTCTTATCTCTGTGAGTTAGACACTGGGAGCCTTGGATAAAGTAGTGAAGTTTTTAAATTAAATGTGCTTACTCTTGAAGTTTGTGTAAAGTCTCACTTTTAGGATAATTAAGAAAACTGTAACTTAAATTACTGGCTTTAGCCTGTATTAATCAAATTTCCATTAATCATTGCTATGACTTGAAGGAACTATAAATATAAAGGAAAATACGATAAATTGGAGTGGGTTTGGTATGATTAATTTTTATTGTGTGATCCATTTATTGCCCTCATCCTAATTCTTAGGTTACAAACCTTCAGAAAAAAGTCCTTTACAACCGTTGAAGAATTATGGAGGTTTTGAGCCATGGAGGATGGAGAAAAACGCACCTGTGAGTTATTAAATCTTTGATTTCTGATCCTTTGGTACTAAATTTCTTAGGGATATTCAGACAGTTCTCCATATATCGAGTCAGAAATTATGAATCCATGTCAGTTTATGTTTCTACGCCTTTAAAGATACTGTCACTGAGTAAATACAGTTTCTGAGAACAAAATCAGTGATGATGGGACAGCTGTTCCCTTTCTTGATTTTTGCTTTCAACTTAAGCAAGATTTAAAAATGCTTATTGCTTTTATCATTTTTTGTAGAACTGAAAAGCAGGCAAGGTTTCGCATGTTTAAGGCAGCCTGCTTTATCCATCATGCTGGGCACTGAAAAAGGGTAAAGGACACTGATGCCCCAGAATTCTCAGACCGCTACTCAGTACCATGCAGTAGCTTGTCACCTTTCTCTTTCTTCCTCCCCTCTGCTAATTGTCCGTCTCATTTATCAGTTCTTGCATTCTCCTTGTCTGTGTTCTTCAAGCAGGCTTTTATTGTCTTAGGCACTAAACAACATGACAAGACATTGATCTTTGTCCCCTTTGAAATGCTGTAAGGACAATACAGAGGATTGTTTCAGAGGTTTAATTATAGATATCCCATATTTTTTGCTTCTCTTTATGATTTGTAGTTATTTTGAAATTCTGAAAAAAAAGAACATGTTTGCTTTCAAAAAGTACTACTTATTTGGTCTATTCAGCTTGTTGCAATTTTATTTTATTTCAGGCTTCTCATTCAGTCCAGCAGATCCTCGATGCACTTGACTTACCCCGTAAATACTGCAGATACTATTTCATGACTTCACGTGGGTGTACAAAAGCAAGATGTCGGTTCTGTCATGTTCCTGAACAAGGGGATGAAAAGGTAACAAGATTTATTGAAGTTAGGAACAGGTTGTAAGTGTGAACACTTTAAATGCAAAAGATCCTCTCCTTTGTTTATTTATGTATGGAAAGGAAGTAAACTTCAGAGATCGATGGAGGAAAGAAATATCCAGAAAATCTTTCTCTCAAGGTCTCTTAAGTTGTTTTTTTATAGCATGGTACAATTTTGAACTAGCAGACTTTCTAGGAGAACAGGCATCAGCAAAAGAGCAAGGATTAGGCTGTGCAAATATAGAGTAGCAGAATGCATAGATTCTGAGACAGTTCTATCCTGAGCATCAGAGACTTTCAGCAAACCTTTGCAGAGACTTTGTATGTATTGTTAAAGTCAAAAGCCATCTATGGTATATAACTTCCTGCATGTTTTGTGCAGTATGGGCATGTTTGTTTAAACATGCTGTAATCTCCTTAAATGGAGCGGCAATTCGCATAATAATTGCAAGCAAAAATAGTTTTCCAGTGACGGGCAAAGTAGATGTGTTTTCAAATCTTTTAACAGAGATATTGTGAGTCTGTAATACTTCCAAGAACGGTGCAAGACAAGCCAATTGTGCAGTCATGTAATAAGATTTTGGAATTGGCTGTCTGAAACCAAGAATCAGGTGTTTTTGTAAGTCACTTGGAAGCAAACAAAAATGTCAAAACAAATAAACAAAGAAAAATGCCTTAACTTGTCCTCATCAGATCATACAAGTTATATTTCTTATCTACCATCTTCTTGGTATGAGTGCAGTTTTATCATTAGTGTCAGTATGACATTTCAGAATCAAAATGTAAAAATAATTTGTAGTGAACCTGTTAGACATAATTTCTAAAAACAAGAAACATCTAAAGAATCTTATCCATCTTCTGTGTCAGAATTTTTAAAATACATCAATGTAATTCAGTTTTATTTTTCTTGCTGTTTTCTGTATTCCTTTCTATGTCTGGAAAAAAGCTGCTTTATTTTTTTGCTAGTGCTTTGTAAACCCTTTGAAAATTTACATTACATCTTAAAAATAGTAAGATAATTTGAGATTAGCTTTGTATGGGACTGCTTCCCTTTTCCTCAATTGTGAAGTATCTTCGGCAGGCTGTAGTAAATATTAGTAATTTTCAGCTAGTTTATATGAATTATTGTGGTCTGTAATGCTTCATTATATACTGGCACCTTAAAGAATTATTTGCCTGAAACTATTAAAAATTTGATTTTACTGGTGGTGCAGCAGTCCAGGACACTTTTACCGTTCTGCCCACCAAACCTAGCCAAGCTTTACTGGTGGTCTGAAAGTGTACTTTGAGGTTTGTTTGTTTGCATATTTATTTATATTTATAGACCTATCCATTTCAAAACGATAATAGGCCAAGCACCTCATGGTGGCACCAAAGTACATCAATGGAAAACAGGTAAAGAAATAACAAAGTCATCAAGTCATATATGAGGGAAATACATCTCTCCAGGAGCTGCTATGCAGACTGGTAGTCCACTTGCTTATTGCTTTGTTTCCAGTGATGGTTGCTACCAGAATTTTAAATACCTTTCTCCATAATGGATATTCTTTCCTTTTCATTACGTAAATGATTGATGCTTTAAGGCATAACTTCCTAGTATTTAACACTTTGCGATTGATCACACAACACAGCAGTGATTTAATTTATAAAAACATCATATGTTTTGAAAATCAGCATATCTTTTGCTCAGCAAGTTGTACAAGTTACTATTTTTGGTTTGGGGTTTTTTTTTTAAGATGCCTTTAATTTCAAACAGTGAATTCTGTTTTGTACTAGGCAAAGTAAACAAAACTGTTAAAACTGTGTTTTAAATACTCCCTGAAGTATTTAAAGGGAGGGCACATCTTAACAATATGTATCAGTGTCTGATGGAGAGAGGGTAAAGAAGATGAAGCTGGTCTCTTCTCAGTGGTGCACAGTGAAAGGGCAAGAGCCAGTGCGCATAATACAGTAAATTGTTTTGCTCAAATGGCACTTCAGAGTGTAGCACAGATAATAACTGCACAGTTAAATAAGTGGTTTAAAAACATGTCTTTATGCAAGCTGTATTTCTCTGATTTTATTTTAGCTTTGTGCACCTTACTCATTTATTTTGACTTGTACCCACTAAAGAAATGATTACTTTTTGTGGCTTCAGACTTTCTTTTTCTTTGATCGTATGAACCTCTAACTGAAAGCAAACTGAATATAAAATAGCAAGATTTCTGTCTTCATTAGTGTTGTCTTACAGCTCCGGGGCCTTGAGTATATCCTTCTGTCGTGGTGGGGGTTTGGTTTTGTTTTTCTAATCTGGATTCCTAACGAAATTAGACTTTACGCTGTCCTTCTGTTACTGTCTCTAGCAGCCTTTAAATGACTTTTGAACTTGTTGGTCAGTCTCAGCTACATTTGATAGGGAGTGTGCATCTAAGATTACACAGGGTTCATACACAGAATTGCCTGTAAAAGGATCGTGGGTTTGGTCTCACTGAGCAAAAGGCTGCAGTATGAGGTTTTCTCCCTTATTAAACGTCAGAGCATATACTGGCTGGAAGATGCTGAAGGATTTCGTAATTTCCTGTGCTTTACAGCTGGTTTCATGTTTAAGATACACAGTCCTTTATTATGGTTTTTATTAAATTGTCGTGTTGAACAAGTCATGGAATCAACTGATAGATGATAGAAGAATGCAGTTTATACTACCTTTTGAAAATAGGAATCATCTCTTTTGTGTACCTTCATTCAAAATCTATTACAGTTAACTCAAAATTTAAAGATTCTCAAATTTTTACATGGTCTTTTAAAATTGAAACAGCTAAATCAACTGAAGCCTTCTAGAAGCTGTAAAGGAGTAACACATTTAGTTTCTTTTACTAATGTAATGTAAAATGTCCCATGATTAAATACTACTACAAGTGGGTTTTCCAGGCAATTTCACTAATACTTGGAACAGTAAGAGCTCCAGATGCAATCTTGGCTTTTTTTGGGAGTCAGTCCAAGGAAGAAGAAAAACAGATTCCAAAAGAAAGCAAACTAATTTCCATACTATAAGCATGTGTGAACGTTTATTTTGGAAATTTCCTCAACCACCTGGGATTATAGATTTGGATTAAATGAGTTAATCCATTGTCAAGTCACACTTCACATATATTAATGATCAAAAATTTGACATGATTTTTTGAAAGGTTTATCTTGGACTATAGTTCAGTAACATTATGGTACTGTTTCAAAGTAAAAATAATAAGATTGCTATTTAACATACTTAGACGTACAGTTTCTGTGTTCTTGGGCTTGATGATCTGAACAGGTTAATGGTTTTGAAAAAAGAAAGATGTCTTGGCCACAAGCCAGTATCTTCAGCTTTGATGATAATTCATTTCCTGTGTAACACACTCCATGAGCAGATCCTGTGTAATTTTTAAGTTGCATGTAAAAATAAACCTGACTCAATTTTCTAATAACGTGACTACTAATTTAGGGCATTCTCTGTCTCTTGATTTTTCATTATTTCACAAAATAGTATTAAATATGACCTATTTACATTGTTGTGCAGAAAGACTAATGTTCCAGAAGTGACAAAGGATATCTGAAAGGGTGGGTGGGGTTTTTCCCTAACTTGGAATTCTAAGATTTAAATACAGTAGTGTTTTTTTCTTCATCTGCAGAGATAGAGCAAAATGTGTAAGTATCACAAAGCTGACAGATTAGGATGTTAAGAATGTTCCAATACCAAATAACTCACGTGTACTTTTTTTTTTTTAATTAAGTGGATGTGGGGTGAAATGGTTCATTAGATGAAGTTAGTGAATTTGTTGTTCTACATCCTTAAAAGTGATTGTTTGTGATATATGATTATCAGTGTAATCATCATATCTGGATGAATTTTTGACTTCTTAGTTGGTATGTTCCATGTAATTTTTCTTATCACTTTACCTTTTTTACTATTTGTTTACAGTCTGCCACATTAATACTAATCTTGAAGTAACTGCATTTTCACTGGATAGGTCGTTTCATAATCAAAGTCGTGTTTGTGGGTAGTTCTTTTGTTTGGCATAAACTGAGGTAACATTTCACTATAGTTTTTTTTGCTTGTTTGTTTTTTTTGTGTTCCTAGATTTGCATGGCAATTCTTAGGACATACGTTAATATCAATGAACCAGGCCTCCTAAAACGTGCAGGTAGGGTAGAGTAAGTAGCTGTTGATGTATCTTTGATACTTAGCTTATTTAAAGCAAATAAAATAGGTTGTCGAGAGAGAAATGGTTACCACTTCAACAGTGAATAAGAAGTTTCTATTTCAAATGATTATGTTCAATCCCTGCATTTTCATGTTTAAATTTCCCGGTGAGGCTAGGAATTTAAATATACAGTTATCTCAGGAGGTTGTTAGAAACTCACTTCCACAGAAAACGAACTTAGCCTGACTGTAACTAGATTTGAGAGTAGAAATGCATAACTGGGGCAGGAGGGAGGTTTAACAGAACCCAGATTTTGTTAAGGTGCTTTTGAAGACCCCAGCCAAACATCACAAACCCAAAAACTTTAGAATGAAGCTCTTGAAATGAAGTGTTGCTACTGCACCCAAACAGCTTTAGTTTAGTCCTTACACGTTACCATATATGCAAGCAGTTATGATTAACCCATTTTAAGGACTGCAGTTGATGCAGATCCATCAGAGGTTTTGAGGCTTTGTTTTGGTTTGGAATTTGTTCACTCCAGACAGTGAATCCTTTTCTACCTGTTTTGAGCAGGTTTGAGAGTTTTTGAGAGCTTCTCAAGAGTGTAGCAGAATGTGAACAGAGGACTCAGCAGCACCCTGTGCTGTATTGTTCCCACATTAAAATATTGGGTGTTTTAATGTGGGTAACACTATACCAGCCAAACGTGTCTATCAAGCAAAGCTAGCTGTGCAACAGATTGTAAAACCATCCACCATAACACTGCACTTCACTTTCTAGAGCTTCATGTCTGGAAAGGCCTGACTGCCTTTGACGCACATACTAAATCTGACCTGGCTTTGTGCATTTTTCTTGTGCTGCACCAAATCAGCTAAGCTTTCTTGAAATCTACAGGGCTTACAGTGATCAATCAGTTCAATGATATGAGGTATTTCAGAATAGTCAGTCTGGGTTTAGTCAAGTTAACACTGTATTCAAACTGGATCCTTTCACACATTTTTCTCCATATCCTTGTCCCATAATATCTTGGATAATTAAGGGGTGTTACACTGTATTTAAAATGTAAGGAAATAACTTACTTAAATAGTTAACATCAGTTACCCCAAAGTGAAATTAATTTAATTGCTTTTTCAGTTCAAATATTTGTGCGGTATTACAGAGAAGTTTTTCCTGGTGTGGATTTTGCTTCTCAAGTGTTGAATGATCTTCTTGTTTCTCTGCTCAAGAACTGTTTGTTGCAGGAAGTATTTTGGATATTGAATGTAACAGTAGAAATCAAGACACTGGTAGGTGTTTTTGGAATATTTTTAAATCTTTGTTCCATAATTTCTCCAAACTCCAAGTTTGAGTATTATGCCAGTTGTATTAATAAGTTTGGTTTTACTCTGGTACTCAAATCTTGGGTGAGAGGAGCAGTTCAAAAGTTCCCATTATAAAATCTCTAAGCTTTGTTACTGACCAGCAAAACTGATGGTGCTTTTTTCTTTTTTTTTTTCTAAATTAGCCAGCTAAAGAGGTTCTTCTGAAAGTTTTTGAGCAAGTGGCTTCTTTGAATTTAACAGATGCTGTGCCTACATTAATCCGTACCTTTTGTAAGGTATGAGTTTGTACTACTGCTGCTTGTTGGAATTTCTGAAATACTTTCCCTGTTTTAAAACTCAAATATATTACTTTAAAAAAAAAGTACTGAAATAGTATTAGAACTGTTATTGTGAGTAGCTGAATTTGTTGTACTAGTTTTCATTTAATCCATTCTTTTTTGACTAAGATTCACTGTGACGTGTTTTTCCCCATGTTGTTTGCCACTGACATCTGAAAATGCATAAAATGATAACAAGTTTTTTGTATGCTTACTTTTCATACTCTTTTTGATATTACAGCTTATTGATGCTGGTATGTTCCTTGAGTTAGACCATTTTGACTATATTATTAAGTTACTTCACCAATTGCAAGTTTCCAGTTGGGAAATAAGTGTTGTTTTGAACATAAAATCCAGGTATGTCTTTAAGGAACTGATTTTCTCATTATCTCTGTCTAGTTCCTTCTTCAGATTCTATTTTTATAAATCTATGTAAAGTCTTTAAAAAATGTCTTGAATTAAAATCCTGTCGTATCATGCCTAATTGTATTTAAAGTGGTGTCAATCTACTATGCTTCAAAGATCGAGGATTGTTAAGTCAAAACTTAGATTCTGACCTCATTTATTAGTTTTTTCCTATCAGCCATCATTGTACAATCTGATCCCTGCTGTGCTGCAGGTTTATATAACTAGTCAAATTTGAAACGTCGTGGCTTAATATATATCATTTATGCCCATGTAAGCAAACAGAACTTCTGCAAAAAAATAACCCTTCTAGACAATACGAGGATTAGTTACAATCTGAAGTAGTTTCTAGTTTCCTTATGGTGTGACTAGATAAACACTTGTGCCAACACTGCTAGGGAGGAGGATCATATTTAAGCACTGCTGGATTATGCTGGGCAAAATGTCAAATCTGTTCCAAAGCTGTTGATACCTCCCCATCGCTTGAACAAGATTGTGATCTTTTTTCTTTTTTGTATCATCTGCATCATACACACACACACGCAAGTTGAGAAACTAAATTTGTGATTCAGAAACATACCTTTGATTCTTAGAGGAAACCAAGTACGCAGCATCTACTATCTGAAAACAAGCCACCAGTGTTCCACCTGAAAGAACTGTAGAAATTATTTGCTGCTTTTGCATACTTTTCCCATAGAGTACTTTCAACCACGGATCTCTGCGTTTTACCACAAATGCTGGAGATCACTTTAATCACTTTTTGTATCGGGAATATGATCCACAAAGTAATGACTTCTTCCAGGTTGCCTCAGTATGTATGTGAGTTCAGCTGAAGGTGAGAAATGATCTGTGTCTATGAAGCCTGAGCACCTGTGCTGCTTCAGTTACATGTGTTAGCACCTTCCTGTGTAGGTTATGCATCTCTGTGTGGTAGCATCACACTGAGTAGGTGTAGGCGTTGTTTCAGTGGTGGCATCAGAATAAAGTGTTGTGCTCCTAGGTATTTGAAGGTGACTTGCACTTGTATGTATTTCTGACATAAAATGACAATACAGTTCTGTGTTTACTTACTGGATTTGCAAGTCTTATGTGTACCTTTTCGGTTACATTTCAACTGAGACAAGGGAGTATATTCTGTGAAACTAGCTCTGCTCAATTATTTGTTTAATACTTTTACTGACTTCCCTTGGCAAGACTGTGAGTGTTTTCAGGGTGCAGTTTGCGTGATGTGAAGTAAACAGAATCAAAAATCAGATCAGTTTATTGTTCATATATCATCTTTTGTTGTTTACCTTCTACTAGTGCATAGTTTAGTTCAATAGGGTGTGTTAAAATTAAGTATTAATTTTTTTTTCATATGAAAGATTTAAGGAAAGACACAATTTTGAAAAGAACTGGCTTTTTGATTTCAACTTGGCAGCGGATGAAATTCAGGTACAGTATGTGCATTCTTCAAACCTTTTGGAATACTTAAACTATGCCTTCTTTTAAGTGTATGAGAAATAACAATTTCTACACCTTTCTAAATTAGTGGGCTTTATTATTGAGTATATTGAACTTGTGATCAAATGCTTTTATGCAAAGCCATGATGGGAGGGCTTAACATGCAAGGGAAAACTGACTTTTCTGTGATGTTAATGTTTTAATTCACATAGTTGTAGTTTCTATCTTGGGTTTGCATCTAATTCAAAGATTTTATAACTTTAAGCAATTATTTCCTGTGCCTTACATTTGTTGTGCTTGTAGTTGGTAGTGGTACATCATTCCTCACAAAAAATTTGTTTATATTGTTTAGCAGATACAATTCACATCTAGTATAAAAACACACAATTGTAAAAGGCTGCAATTGACAACACTAAGCAGGAATTTTAAATAATAAGAAAATAATATAAACATTCTTTAGTTGGACACTTGTGTGTTTCATATTCAAGGTCAGATTACTTATTATTATGCTCAGTTATAGTTTACATATTATCACACATAATGCTCGGATCCAGACACTGAAATATGAGGAGGGAAGAACCTTCTTTTACTCCTGTAACACCAAAGTTACTAAGTGATCTGGCAAGCAAACAGCTAACTCATATAGAAAATAACCATAAATCTGGTATGCATCATGTCAAAAAAAAAAAGGATATTAAATACTGGATGAGTGCTAGTTCTTAAATAGGATGCATAAATTATGAACTTCCCCAGTTGGGGTCATGACATGAAAAAAGAAATTATATTTCTTGAGGGACAGAAGTAATTAGCAGTCCATGCAAGTTAGGCAACATGTAGCTGTGCCATATAAACATGAAGGTTTGGGCAGTAGCATTTCACCTCTGTCTTTTTTTCTGCTTTAAGTCTATCCCAGGTGTATGTCTCAAATTTCAATATATTTTCTCTTTGGTGTTCTGGAAGCAGGTTTGCTTATCTTTATCCCTTGCCCTCTTCACAGCATTGCATGGAAAAAAGGGATTGGAGCAAGCTGGGAACTTTGTATCTTAATGCAAGAACTGGATGTGAATGTTTTGAGGATTTTCAGAAATTATTTTTATCAATTGCTGAAATACTAACCAAAGATTCTGAGTCAGGCAGACCAGAAGTTCCTTTCTGTGATTTTGCTGATGCAGGTAAAATTAAGATACAAGAAATGGTTTTTGTTCATCCTTATTCTTTGTAGAGTTTTAAAAGAGATAAAAAATTGTTTTGTATAGTTTTATGATTATTAGTTAATTTTATGTTACAATGTTCAGAATTTCTTGAGTTGCAAATGCAATCAGCTGTAATGTTCAATAGAAACCATTTTCTACTAGAACTAAAATCCATAGTGCTTACACCTAAAGTCCAAAGAAAATTCTGAAGGAGGAACACTTGAGCTTTGTGGAATCAAGAAGAGAACTCAGAATTTGTAGTCTTTTAGTAAGAATGGCCTATACTCAGGACAAAGGCAAATGTATTAAAGTATTGTCGTGAATAAACTTTAGAGTTGTGTGTATATATATATATATATATAGTCGTGTATTTTAAAACACATGGAAAAGGTTACATCATATACATAATTTATACCTTCTTTTTTCCTTGGTAATTTGGATTTTTAGAATTATTCTCTAAAGAACCAAGAGCTTCTCCAAGTGCTGGGTCTGCAAAACACCTTCTAATTGCTCCTTTCCTCCCTGTGCCCCTTCATTTGCATATCTGTATCATTCTTCCTGATAAGCTCACAAATTACAGAGGCTCAGTGAAGTGTCACTGGGATATTTAAGCATTTTATAAGGGATGACCCAGATATTTTTCATCCTGTATTAACTACTAAAACATGATGAATACTTATTTCAGATATGTGACATGACCTTTCTGACCACAGGCTTTTATACTACTAAACAGCTATCACATCTTCCAGTTGTGACACAGAGAGAATATTCTGGCAGAGCTTGGAACTTAGTCTGCCTTCCCTAGAGCAGTGGTCTCAAAACTGACAGGCATCTCTGTCAGTAAAAGATTTTGAACACTCACCCCCAATTTTTTAATTTATAAATTATATACATGTACTACTGTGCTGGTATATTAAATGCGTTAGAAAGCATACACAAAAATAGAAATTGCAAATACAAGATAAATATTAAATAAACACTACATTTTAAAATATTTGTTTTTATTTTCTAATGGTACAAAAAATATTCCCACAGCTGAATGAGTTCAGACCAGAGAGGTTGTACAATATGTTTGGAAAAACTTGTAAATTACTCAGTTCTACAATTACCAAAATTTCTTCATGTTGGCAGAAAATGTAAAGCCTCCTTTACAAATAATAATGTTGCTAAATTATGCCATTATATGTCCAAGCATTTTATAGATTACTTAAACTACTATGAAATACTGTCTGAATAAACTATAGTTACTTACCCTACTTCCAGTGTTAAGAAGTTACTGCTTTTAATGGCAAGTATTTCAGAACACAGATTTGATATTTTCACAATGACTGTGTTTTTCAAGTGTTTAATTACTTTTAAACTGCATATACATGTAAAATAAAAAAAAATATTCTTTTTGGTTTTTTTCCAGTAATGAAAAATTCACAACCTAATGAAGCAGACAGACTTTTCATTGGGAGGACTGGAATAAGTGTAATGTATTCTTATCACAAAGCACTGCAGTGGACAAAGGTATACTTGGACTATAGGAACCTGACTTGAAGAAAAAAAGTAGTAATTTCATTTCTAGATGTTAAACTGTGTTTCTCTAGTTGAATGACTCCACCTGCCTCCTCACCATCTTGGTACTTATTAATTATCCAGCTGGATCAAAGCGTTTCACTGTGCCTTTCTGAGCAGTGAGCTTCTGTGGAGCCCATCATAACTTTGTCTTGCAACTTAGGAATTTGATTGTTCAGGTTCAGCTTGTGATTTTTTCTGAGCTGAGGTTGAATCTGAATTAGGAGAGCAGTCTTCCTGATGTTCTAGGGTGAGGTGCTGTTGGGATTGTTTCCCAGAAATGTCTGTTTCTTCTGTCTGGCAATAATGCTGCATTTTGAGACCTCTCAACTCAGGTGATACTTAGAGAAGTTTTGGCAGTTTCCTGCACTGGTGCTTCTGCATCTGACCTCAGATAGAATCGATAAGGCCAGAAAGACAGAAAAGCAGCATAGCAAGGCTGCTGCTGCTCTTGTTGAACTGCTTGTTCCTCAGAATGCCACTGGAAGTGCTTTTCTTTGGTAGAATCTAAGTTTCTGAGTTCTGCAAATCTTGCAAAACTTGGACATCACAAAGAAATACCCTTTACAATGCTTTCTTTGCTATCAGATATTATAAAGGGCCAGGGCTAAGAGACCAGGCTTTTAACTGGCTGTTTTACACTCCTTAGGCCTCATACAGTTATTGGTCATAATTTCACTGTAGCAAGATCTGCTTCAATGTTAAATTCATCTTTTTCTTCCTGGAAGGAAGCAGTGTATACCAGACTGCATCTCTTATACAATGTAACATGACAAGTGACAGCATAAGAAATATTATAAACGACCAGTGATTTTGGAATGTATTTTGTTCGGTGATCAAATTCTGAACTTGGGCCTGATCCTTTCAGCTAATAATTATGCTGTACTAATTATTATTATGTACTGGGATGTTCCTCATCCCATACAAGATGATTTCTAGCATGAATTATTATGAACAAAAGGAAATGCTCTCGTTGTCTTCCTCCTTTTGTCTCTTGAAGTTTTGTTTGGTTTTTTTTTGTGAATTACCATCAAGGAACCCATTTTGGTTCCTTGGAATTAAATGGTCTTTTGTGTTATTGGTCAAGCCAAGTCACAGGAGATATTTGATAGAGGTGCTTAGTCTAAAAGCAGTACACCTGTTCTGATGAATCATTAATTTTGCAGCTTCAGCTTGTTGAGTTGAGTTTAGCAGGTCCCTGTCAAGCTACAGCAGTGTGCTGTACTTGGTACTGTTTAAGAGCAAGGGGAAGGAGAGAGGGTCTTTGCATTAGCACTTACGTAATACTGCACTAGAACTTTTTTAGGTATTTTTGTTCTACAAAACTTAGCAGTTAGAACAGTTAAGGTAGTCCTAACCATGGAAGAGATGATCTAAGATTTTTGGCATTGAGGAGTGATAGTACTCACATACCCATTGAAGAGTTCAGCTGGGCTTGAGTTCTGGCTATCTTCTTCAGTATAGAGTGTTTGTGTGCCTTCATACATTTTAGCTGTTTTCCAGATCCTTCTTAAGGGTGATCCTGATATGTGGATTGCATAACCCCTAATATTCCAAGGAGATTCATCTTCATGTCCTAATTTCAGAGGTGCAAGTTGTCAAAAGCATATGTAGTGTTTTTCTCGTACAGCATGAGTTACCAAAAGTAGATGCTTCTTTCAATACTATAATTTTTTTTCATGTCTAGAGCAAAAGATCATTATTTCTTTGAGAATATTGTGTTAGGTATCAAACCCACTTTTCAGCAGGCTGCTGACCAAAATCCTCAAATAGCCTTGTAGACAACCTGTGCTGACCATATGGGAATGTGAATGAGGCTCTGCTCTGAATGATTTTTATCAGAACTGGCAGGTCCCAAATTGATCTCTGCTTCAGGGATCTGTCATTTCTACCTCTCTCCAACCAGTTTCACTCCATTATAGATATATCAGAAAAATCTCTAATCCTGTGGTTAGGGGCTAGTATCTACTTGATACTGTGCCTTTTGTCCAAAACATGGTCTAGAAATTAAAATAGTGATGGATTTGCTCTTCTTGCTCTGCCTACATTAATTTTGGTTTTAGGGCATGCCCTATGCCATTTTATGAATATGCTGGACTGCCTGAAACTCTAGATATGCTTTTCAGATCACTTTTCTTTTGTGAACATCAAACCCCTTTTTTAATTGTGTAGCTTTTATGATTGATGGCTCTCTGGGGGAAATATGTATGCTCCTTGGTCCTGAAGAGAATATTCTTTGTAGGAGGTAAGGAAATTTCACAAAACAGATGTACTTTGAAAAAAACATGCAGATTTGAAACATGAATATGTCTTCCATGGAGGTAGCTCTTCAAGCAACACTAGACTGCTTTCTGGATATGTACTTGTAGAGAATCCTGTAATATTAATGTTCCTTTGGCAGTTTTTTAACCCACTTCTTATTTCATCTATTTCCTGTCTTGCAGGACTTTACTATCGTTTAGTGTTTTCCAGCCTTTTAATATTTCAGAGAATTGGTCAGAGGTTCTAGTCGAATTAAGGATCTCATTCCATAACTGGATTTTGAGTGCCCTTCCTTTATAGATCATTTCTCTGCTTATAGCTGCATGCTTTCCATCTTCCTATAAAGAAGATTTCTCAGTGGCCCCTCCTTTTGCCAGAAGGGTGGAATAGATTTAGTTCCTCCTAAATTTTATATTTTGTCTCTGGTTTGCACTTGGATTTTCAAGTTTCTATTTTGCTTTCATCTTAGTCTTTCTGCTATGTAAGTTTCCCCTTCAGCTGCATACATCTACAGTTGAATGGGTTCTTCACACTTTAAATTCTAACTACAGTGATACTTTTTAGTGTTTTTTATGAGTTATGCTGAAATAAACAATTGCAGATACCTGTAGAGCTTCAAAAGTCTCCAGTTTTGAGCACGTACCAGTCCACAGTATGTATGTACATATGCATAAAGCATTTTCAAATCATGAGCTTGTTAATAAGTGAGTTTCATTTTCTGTCAGCTTCTCTGTTGTCCTGCACTTCCCTTTCCCTCTGCCTCCATGACCCTTACTCTGCCACCACAATGCATGCTAACACAAAAACACAATATTTAATGAACTGCTTCCTCGTTGATGAACCCATTAAACAAGAGCTGAAACACGTCTAGTTTGGAGCTTGGTCCACGTTACTTGACAAGCAAGGTGCAGCCAGACAGGACAAGTACTGAATTCTGCCTGGCCTTGCCTTGCTGGCAACATTGTTTTGGTATTCCACCTTGACTTCATCATCATCTATTTTAGATTGGTCAGATCTTAATTATCTTTGAGACTGCTACCTTTCTTCCAGTTTTGTCTGAAAAGGACAACCAAAAAGTTAAGATGAAGCTTCTGTAGGAAACTAGTCTGAATATCAGCCTGGAATCTTGGCAGTCAACTAAGTTGCTGGTTGTTACACTGTTGGCCAGATAGGCCCAACTTTTTCCAGTTTATTGTCCTGCTGCATACAACTATCAGTGTTTGCTTTGGCTTATGCTGGAGTACCGATTTCAGTTTAACAATTACAGCTCTACTGCAAAAAGAAAACTCTCTGTATGATCTTTTTAGAATTTTGCAGTGTGTGTAGTGCTGAATGGAATCAAAAGTAAAAAAATTAACTAAGCAAGTACGAATTAATTACAAAGTATATTAAAAATACTGTATAGGGACATTATATAATAGAAATAATATTATGGGGAATAGTGTGCTGGGAACTCTTCAACGAGGGGTTGGTTGAGGTTTTTTGCCTGCATAATAAAAAAAACCCCCTTCTTTAGATGTTTTGCTAGACTTCCCCCCGACTCAGTTTGGATAACTGAACTGATACCTATAAATCTATACTGCTAAATTAAATCTGCTGTATTGTGTGTAAATACACTCCTGGTTCACTGATGACACCACTGCTTTCTCTGACCTTCCCCCTTTCCCTTCTCCCTCTTACACTAGGGAAGGAAGGTTTTGGATAAACTGCATGAGCTACAGATACATTTTACACTTTTGAAAGGGCTTATAGGTGCAGGGAGGTCAGCATCAAGATGTCAGATTGTTAATAAAGCTGCAGAAATCTTTCTTAATTGTGGAAGTTTGGATGGAGCAACAAGGGTACTGAGAGGTAAGCTTTTGACTTAAATTTGAACTGTTCCCTTCTATGACAAATTTCGGATAAAAGATACAAGCTGGTCTGTGTTACTAAATAAAGTTAATAATTCTGGGACAACAAAAGCAAATGTGATCCGCCTTACTGGTTAGTAGTATTCTTGATATGTATAAGAAATAATATAATACATAATATTTTTCAGAGAAGTTTTCACAGTAGTCTGGTATCAACACCATTCTACTCAAAAGTCTGCTCTAATGAGGGCGGAGTGCAGCTTGGAAAATGACCCTGCCCCACGGAGACTTCTTTGAGCCAGGGGACATTCAGTGTCAAAAAATTTCAGGCTTGGGTCAATGCAGTGTTTCTTTATGCCTGTCAGTATCCCCATTTAATATAATTGCTTTAGAATAGCACCATATTTCTGCAGTTAAATGGCATATTGTTTTGGGCTTTTTGGAATTCTGATCTGCTGAAAGGAGAAGCAACTCAGAAATATAAAGAATAGAACGTGTTCTATAAATAATAGGATCTGAAATTTGCTACTCAGTTTTAAAGATGTACATAGATATTTACATATTTATATATGCCACTGACAGTCCATTTTACTTCTGTGATATTTAACAATATTTTACAATATAAAGGTTCAGAGAATCCATCAGAGGAGCATTTGTCATAAGGAATGAATTATTAATAACTAGAAGTGCTTTTTCTGTGTGCAGATCTGAAATTTGTGTAATGCTGCAGTTTACAGTACATTCTTAATGGCCAAAAATCTCAGCACCCAGCAGTCTCAGTTCATAGAAATAACACTGCACTGTTGTTTGCCACAGAGTCAGAGTGGACCACAAATGCACCGTTGTGGCCTTGTGATAAAATGGACATCGTCAATCGACACAATCTGTTACATACCCTAGTGCACAAATTCTTGAGTAAGAGTTTGTACAGGCAGGCATTTGAAGTTCTGCGGAACTTCCCAGGTTTGCAAAAACATTCTGGTAAGTAAAGAAAAAGGTACTATGTTAAGACTTAAAAATGTAACAGGTGCTTCTGTGCTGTTCTTTCTCTGTTTTCCAGCTAAAATTTGTTGAAGAAGTAAGATGGTTTTAGACAAGCCTCGTTTTTTTTCCAGAGTGTTGTGTCAGTTTAAATTCGTATTGTACTCTGCAGCTCTTGCCATGCACGCACACTCTCACAAATACACACAGTGTCTGTACACCTGTCCTTTTTTTCCAATTGACTCAATTACACAGGGCAACAGGAAAGACACATTAAATTTTTAAGGATCATACAGAGTCTATACAATGACATCTAATAGGGATATAATTGGCATGATTAATTTTATCTTAATTTCAAATTAATGCCTTAGTAAATTTTTTCTATAACTGAGCCAGCTAACCTAGACATCTTTTACATACCGTGCTAAGAGCTAAGTACTCTTTTGGACTCAGTTTATCTGGCAAATTTTGGACATGTACTTCAAAATGAGATGTGTAGTTACTTAAACTCCACTGAGGAAACCTCAGCTGATTCCTCTGTGTAGGTCTCAGTCTATTGCCAGTATGTGCTTTTAGGAATGTTAGGAGAGGTTGGTTGGAAGACCATCTACTTAGAGAATGCTGAAAGGATCTAGTTCTTTGAGGCATGAGGTGGATACAAGGCTGCTCAGTCCTGCCAGGAAAGGGACAGTTCAGAGTAGAAGCAGAACTAGAAGCACTTAGGTGATTTTTATTGGTAGAAATTTTAAGCCTGAGAGATCAGGTGAAAATTGTATTTATAGGCTTGAGCAAGTGAATGAATTCTTACCTGATCCAATTGGTCTTGACACCAAATTATGACTTGGACCTCAACACTTCTATTTCACAATGTGAATGAACTAGTGTATGAAAAGACTTCCGATGAATAAAGCATTCATGTTATCCCAACCTTGTTCCATTTTGCTGATAGAAGCAAGACTCCTCATTTAGATACTCATTGGGAAGTGATTCTTCAATTAGATTTGCATTTGACTTTAGTAGTTAATATTCTTCATTTCATTTCAGATACTGTAGATGTTTCTCAGTACAGCTGCCTTTTTAACAAGCTGATAAATGCCTGTTTTGAGAACAAGAGCCTTGGGGTGTCATCTTCTGCAGTAGACTTCATGCTTTCAAAAAAAATTGCTATTGATTTTATTTTACTTAGAAGATTAATCACAGCTTTGGGAAGGAGTTCCTTGTGGTCAAAAGCTAGGACATATTACAAAAGTAAGTGGCTTCTTAAACAATGTTGTCCCCTTACAGTCTTTGTATAACATGCTCATAACATCTCAGTATGTTGGGGAGAAACAGGTAAGAAGAAAACCAGTACTTTCTGTGTCACTACCAGGAATTTATTTGCAACCAGAATATTTATTAGGAAAGAGCTGAAAGAAAGAATCATCGCATACTACCTGGCACGAAATAAATGTAATTCTGATAAAATTAATTTTTTATATTCAGTTTCAGATTTTCAGATATGCAAACCCTTGAAGTGATTGAAAATTGCATCATCTTCACTTTTTCTCCTAGGCAAATTATACTTCCTTACACATCTGTTTAGAGCTGTGGTGCTAAAATTATTAATATGTAAGATTTGAGAAGTCTGGCTAAGAAAGTTATCCTAACTATAAGAAAATTCCTTTCAACTAAAAGCTAGTAGTCAGTAATTGTTTTCAACTCCCCATTTCTGAGCTAAGATAATACTGTGTATGTGCCACTCTGCTGGGGTCCACCAAGAGTTGTCTCTCCACATTGTGCATTATTTACTGTTTGATTCTGTCTTAGAATTGTGGTGGTTAGCAGTCTACTTTGAGTCCATCCCTCTTGTTCTTTTTTAACGTTGAAATTATGTGTTTTCCTCATCTCTTTTTTTCCCCTAAAATGCTGTGTATATATAGGTTGGATTGCTAGGATCACTTGACAGAAGTTAGAGGAACAAAGCAGGAGATGCTGTTCAGATGTTCTCTCACTTTGATCATGATTAACAGAGCTGTCTGACCTGCCCTAAGTTGTACTTGTGGTATTACACACTTTGTATCTCCAGAATTCTATCAGAGCTTTTTAGTCACAGCTGATAATACTCATAGAAAAAAATAAGATTTTACAACAGTGAATATTATGTGTGAATATTGTTTGCTAAGTTCTCAAATCAGGCCACTTCATCAGTGAAATAGTAAAATCTGTTAAGGGTTTGGGTTTTTTCCACATTTAGTCCTACACAGAAGATAATGGATCTATGCTCAGTACTGGTGGTCCTAATTCCTCATGTTTCTGCATTTATTCTCAGATGCTTTATCATTGGGTTGCTACCCACAGCTGCAGGGAAATTCATGCCACAAACTTTTGAAGATTCCATCTTACCTGTCTGAAGTTGAGATGCTGTTGGCCATTGAAATATTTCTTGTTTCAAATGCCAGTTATATTCAAAGTCCAATGACTACTAGTCAGACTCTTCAAATAATACTGAAAAGGTTTGTTGTCATATATGTACTATTTTGATTGTTCATGTGATGAGGTAGTTAGCCAGAGATCCTATTTTCCACTGTCTGGGAAAGAGGGTGCTTGCTTTTAAACTTGCTTTTAATCTTTGTTTCTGAACTGGCTTTTTTTAATCATTATTATTTCTACACATGTGTAGCAGAAAAGTAGTTGTTCCAGAGTGATATTGGCTTGTGTTTCCCAGCTGAATGTGTCTACTGCACTAAGAATGTACTGTATTTTCAAAAATGGGATGACTTGATACCTTGCTATATAGGTTGTTGTGTTGTGGTTAAGCACTGGAGTAGAAGGGCACAGTCAAAATGTTAATTCTTTCAAAAAACAACTCTTAACATTTCTTGGCTATTTTTTGGAAAGTCCATGAAGCCATTTTATTTAATTTTCTTTATGAGGGATAGCTCAATATTAAATTTATTAGTGTTTTCTTTTTCCCCTTTCTGTGAGTCTTAATACCTACAGATTAAAAATGTGCTTTGTGGCTTTTTTCCTTTTGTCTGTAAACCACCAACGTTGTCACTAGGTTATACCTGTAGTTTTGCTTTTCAAGACTCGCTTTTCTCTGAGATTGACTGGCTCAGCATCAAAATGTGAAACTGCATAGAAAAGCTACATTTGTTAAGAACTATGACTACATGCATCTCCAAAACTTTAGTACTTTAGCTTCCTTCCTCTCTGTCCCCCCAAGGAATATAGCTCTTAATTTTGTTCCTTTGATAAATGAGTTTTTTACCTCTGTTTTCATATGTACGCTGTTGTACCTCTGCTTGTTTTCTTAAAGAGTAAGTTCTGCTCTTGTAAAAAATATAGGCATGTCACATAGGCAGAGCCTTGTTCCAAAAGCTATTACATGCCAAAAATCATTAAACCTTTTGGATTCAAGCATATATGTGAATTCTTGCTATGTCCAGTTCATTAAATGGTTTGCATTCCTTTACTGAATTTTCCAGCCCAGAGACAAACATTTTTTCATGAAATGTGAATATTGCAGAGCTACTTTGCACTGATATTAAAGCCTATTACATTTCATTGCTGTAAAATATGTTAAAAATACGCTTTTTCTAACTTTTTAATTCTTCAGAATAATAATCTAAAATCTGTCTAGAAATTAACGTAATGTATTATCAGTGAAGTGAATACATGGATTTATTTTAATATTTCTGTAATCTTGCTGCCAGTACTGAGTGTCAGGCAAGCAACACAAGGTATGGTACCTAATTTAGTGTTTGTGAAAATTCTCTTACAGGTGTGAAGATCAGACAGTTCAGAATAACAGTGCCTATCAAGTGGCAGTGGAGAGACTGATTCTAGCAGCTCGTTTATCTGATCCAAAGCTTTTTCTTAAGCATTTGACAATGAATGTTAATATGGAAGAAGTTTACAGCCTGGAGCTTTCATCTGCTCTAAAATGGCTTCAGGAGAATATGAAATGGGCTGAGGAGGTCTGGCTCAGTAGTCATTAAATAGTTAAGACTTTTGGGTTTTAATGGTTTAAGAAATGATTCTTTAACACAGAGTAATAAAGGCAGTTTCCACTGTATTCAGACTGTGCCTTATAGATTAACAGCAATGTTTCAAACTCAAGTTGTGTGTTTAAATGCTTATATTGATGATAATGTGGATAGTAGCACAAAAAGAGTAATTTTTTTCCCTGGGTATGTAAATGTCACACTGACTTACATAGATGTTCTGTAATGGCATCATTAGATATTGAGGAAGCTGCAGCCTCAGAATCTACATTCTCCTTTTTTACAGAGAATCTAGTACTAACTTGTTTCTTCCAGCAGGTGATAGTGTAAGTGTAGTATGAGTATAGATAAGTGCACTGATCGAGTGTATCTGCTGTTCTTGAGTGATGTATTTTTCACATTGCTTCACAGTCTGTAGAAGTAATACATGTTTTCTTTTGTCTTCTTCACAGTAACTTGTGAGAATGTTGACCCATCTGTGTGCACCTTAGATGTTAATTTCCTTACTCCAAGAGCCCAGTAAAAAGCACTGAGACTAAAATAACTTCAAAATCACTTGAGATATGCCTGACTTAGTATACCTTTCTTCACAGACACGTGTTGCTCACAGATAAAGAGTTAGTTGTATGTTGATAATAGCTTGTGTGTAGCTTCACATTTGTATATATGGGTACTTCCACTGAAAACTTACTTTCTCCCTTGGTTATGCTGTTAGAGGGAGGTGGGTTCGCCCATTTTTTAGTTTCTGCCAACTGCACGATGAGATGGAGGCTTCTAGCAACCTTGTGCCACCATTCTTGGTTCTTAGGGATTTCTTCTTTTTCCTACCTGCAAATTCTGAATCAGTTTTGGAGCATGAATTGCTCAAGTCACACTTCATCTGCTGATCTGCAGCCTGAGTAAGAAGAGACACACATTTCATATCAGAAAAACTCTTGTGACAAATCAGTGGGACCTCTGTCAAAGCTGATAGTTGCCTGAGCTCCCCACTTTGTGTAGTGTTAGTACTAGCCTTCACAAACATGCCAGTAGTACAGCTCTTTTGGTCCTGCTCTCCATCCCTTTCAGAGCTTTTTGTTCTGAATAGTTATGCTCTTTTGGGTATAGAAATTCACGTGTTTTTAAGGCTGTTCTATCATAAGGAAGATCAAGATGGTGGCATAAGACCTCAGTGTTGGAAAAATCTTTCCCACCTTTGGGGCAGCATAAGTCTCTTCCCAATTCCAGGAGCTTTATTGCAGGTGTCCTTTGTGCCTCTGAATTATGAAAGCCACCATGATCTTAGTACTGGATAGTTGTGGAGGGTTTTGAAAGAGCGTCGGTGGTTCTCTTTGGGGGAGGTTGCCACTAATCTTAAGGTTCGTGCCGTTAATCTGATGTCATGAATCTGATCATCAGTTCTTAGATTCCTCACCTTCTTCAGGGCCAGGTTCTGACCTGCTCATCTAGTCTGTCTGGCAGTTGCTACTGGAAGAGAGAGGATTGAATGCAACGACAGCCAAGATAACTACTTTCCTCCTGTACAGAAAAATTGCAAAGATAGAGGCTCTTGTGTTTTCATTCTTCTGTGAGGATCTCATCTGCCTTTCCTCTAAGAAATGGTGGATTCAGTAATAATAATCAGATGGCATTTTTTTCAAAGCCCCTTACCTCAAAATTTCTTGAAGTACATTTGGCACTAGTTCAAACAAACGGGGGGTTCCTCCCCTTGGTGTTCACCGAGATGGCTCTGCCATTTGTAAGAGCATCCACCTGGTTAAATCTGATCGCAGGTGCTTCCCAGGAGCTGAAAGACTGGGTAAGAAGTGATCAGGCCACTCCAGCATTAGTGACAAGAGCAATTTTGGAAGGTTTCAATGAACTAAAACTGGTAGTGAGAAACTAAGTAATTTTTGCTAATTACTTTTTGTAAGATCCTTTGTAGCTTAATTTCCCTTGGAATCAGAGGCTATCTGACCCTCAGTTAAATCCCACATTTCTGTAAGTGGTACCAGATGTGGCTAATACTGTGTTTGAGAAATGCAGAAGGACAAAATTCTCTTTGTAATCTGTATGGCTTCAAATCTTGGGATGTTCTAGAGACAGCAGAATTTTTTCCACTATAAAGCAACCTTGAATTTTCACTTAGATCATCCCCAGGGAAAAAAAATCCCAAACACATGAGAAATATAGATATGTGACAAATATATATACATGACAAATCAGTAGGCAATTAAAAAAACTTTGCTGTTAAGTCCTGTATTTCACATTTTTGTACTGTCTGGGTCTACATAAAATACAATACAATTCTGGTCATTTTGATGTGTATCAAAAGGCCAGAAAGGTTTTTTGAGTAACATTCTTGGTATTTTGGTAACAGAAATTCCATGTGCCAAACAAGACAAAACTCCAGTGTGGAATGGAAACAAGCCTGGAAAGATGGAAAAATGTTCTGAAGAGTATAAAGTTAAGTAAAATAGAGACAATGCAGTTTTGCAGAGCCAGCCACTCAATATATTGACAATATCCATATTTTTGCTTTTTCCCAGCTGTAAGTTAAGCTGAAAGAACATCTGTGTTTGACATTAAGCAACTAATTTGATTAAACTTTTCATACAGGAAATAAAATGTTGTGTACCTTTTTGCAGAGAGAGACAGAAAAATGTGCAAATAAAAACTTTCCTATGCTGTGCTTAGTAGCTTGGTGTAGACAACTCTGTGCTGCTTAGGAATGTTGTTAGATGCATGAGAAATTCCCTCTGTGAAAATCTTTTCTCAGTTTTCACTGATTACACGGTATACTCTTGGAAAGATTACTTTTGTTAGGTATGGACAGTTTCTTGTAACTAAAACAGAATAATGGGGTTTGAAAGACCACAGTTTTATTTCAAAGCATTGGTAGTTTTGAGAGTTTCTGAACCCACATGGGGGATAGAGGTGAAAAGCTGGAAATAGAAGCTTGATACTGTGTTTTATAAAGAGCAATTGCGGGGGGTCCCTTTGGAGAAGTTGTTAAGATGTTAATAAATGGTTTTTTATTCTTTATATAAAATATTCAAGATACCTGAGAGTCTGTATTGTCATTAAATTATTTAATTCTATTCAGATCCCTGTAATTAACATTCTTAGGTATGCGGGAGGATAGGGAAACAACAAAGTAGATGTGGACAGTTTAATATCTTGTAGCTACTACAGTAATCTGGAGTATGATACACTGCATGAGGAGGTTCAGAAAGTGTGAAATCAACCAGACTATTCAGTTTATAACCACGCCAGAGCACATAGTGTAGCAAATGCTCATGAATAAATTGGGCTGAAACTCCCAGCTGTGGAGATGGCCAGCTTCCAGTTTTAACTGTAGACTTGAGGCTACAGCCAGGGCTGTAGGCTGTGCTCAGTTTACTGAAGAATTAAAGTGAATGTTAGAGTTTCACTTGAGGAAAAGTAATAAAATATCCCCGGTATAGTAATAGATAATTACTAAAATCTTAATGCCATACTCCTCAGCTCTAGTAAAATACGACCACATTAAAAGCAATGACTGCTTCACATCTGTTGTCTTTTCACATTCTCCAGATGCATCTTTCATCATTGTGGGTTTAAGTTTTTTGGGAATTTTTTTTGCAAATCCCAGGTCTACATTTTTCAGTCTTAACTCTTTCTGCAGAACTTTTTCTAAAATTGCTAGAATGATGAGCAGTATCAAAAATTAATGCTGACATGATTGGTCTGAGTTCTGTACCATTGCCTGTGATGGGACTGTTTCTCCAAGAAACTGATGCTACTTTTTGACCTTCTGCAGATCCAGGACCAAAACAGAAACAAAGGAGCGAAGAGAAAACAGCTCCATTGCCATTTGTAGCAACTTAGAATTAAGCAACAAGAATGCTTAAAATTCTCCTCTGTTAGGGGACAAGCGGTCAAAATACAAACTTTTTCAGGCAGTAATTTTATCTGGTATAAAACTTTCAGTTTGGAAATCTGTGCTGCTCTTGCTGAACCAGTGGGATGTGTCCTGGGTACAGGTAGGGAATAACACAATCAGGTAGAGCCACAGCACTCCTCCCATCAGCCTAGTAAGTGCTGAGACTTAACTAAAAAGCAGGAATTAATTCCTGTGCTGGGGCAGGGGAAGAGGCCTCTCTTTGGGAATACGTACCCTAGGCACTGGAGTTGGTAGCTGGCAGGGCCCACTTGCTGATGCCCTCTCCCAATCTATTTTATTCCTCAGCAAATTAAAAGAAATCCCAGGTGAAATGAACAGCACACTTTTCTGTTGAGTCAATTAAATGTATTTTTTCCTCTACATAATTATGCAACCAATTTGCTTACATAACTGATTGGCTTCTGTTGGGAAGCAAAAAACATGCTGCATATTATGGAAATGAAGAAAATCCCCGAAGGGCTGTGAGAGTGTTAACTTGATTAAAAGCTTCACTGAACTACAGTTAGTTCCTAAACCTTGTCAGTCCTCCTTTTAACCTTTTCTGCCTAGAAATGCAATAGATTGCATGCAAATAACTCCAGTCCCTAGCAGTTAATATCCCTTTGTTTTCAAACTCTGTCAGCAACAGGCATTTTTGCTCTGAGGTTCCATGTCCCTGTATCAGCTGCACTTCGACAGCAACTATCTTAGAAGAAAAATAGATGTGTACATCGAGCATTACTAACATAAACATATAGACTTAAGCTGTGCCAGCGGAGGTTTAGGTCAGACATTAGGAAGAATTTCTTAACAGAAGGGGTGATTAGATATTGGGATGGGCTGCCCAGGGGAGGTGGTGGAGTCACCGTCCCTGGAGGTGTTCAGGGAAAGACTGGATGTGGCACTTCATGCCACATGGTAGGTCATAGGCTGGACTCGATGATCTCAGAGGTCTTTTACAACCTGATCCTGTGTAACTGCAGGAAAACCGCTGTTGCGATCCCATCGGGATTGCAGAGCTCACGGCTGGTTCTTCGCCCCCTTGGTGTTCTGTTTCTGCAGAACAAAGGCAACGCGAGGCGTGCGCGGGCATTTGGAGAAACCGCTCCCATCCCCTCTGCAGAACGGCAGACATTTCTTGTGCCGAGGGTTTCCCCTTCCATGTCCCTGACGAACTGCTGCGGGCACAGCCTCTCCGGCGCGGGGCGGCCCCCGCTGCCATGGGAACGGGCCGCTTCCCCCGGCGCGCCCGAGGGGCGGGGCCTGCGGGTGCGCTTGCGCGAGCGGGGCTCGGCAGGGGAGCGCTGACCGCCCCCGGGCGGCACCGCCCCCTGCCGATGGCCACGCCCATCGTTCGGTGGTCACGCCCACCACTCGGCCCCGCCCCCGGCGGGAATTCCCGGTCCCGCCCCCTGCGGGGCCGTCGGCGGGGGCCATGGGGCCGAGCCCCGGTGGGCGCCGTCCGGCCGCGACGGTAAGCGGAACCGGGCCGGCGGTCTCGCCGCGCCTCTCCTCGAGGGGAGGTCAGGGGAGGAGGGGATCGGGGAAAGCAGCGCGACCTCACCGCCCTCCTGCTCGGGGGGCCCTCTCGGACAGCGGCGGCCGGAGGACGGTGCGAGGCCGAGCCCGGGCGGTGGGGGGGTGGCAGGGGTGTATGCTTTGAAACCGGGCCGGGCTCCGTGGCCCTGTCCCCGCCGGCGGGGCGGGGGGCTCGGGCCGGGGCCGGAGCGTGCCCGTGCGCCGGCACGCGCGGGCCGTACGTGCGTCTGGGCACGCGCGGGCCCGGCCGGCGGCACCGGCGGTCGGATCGGGCCGGGTCGGCGCCGCTCGGGTCCGTCCGGCGCGCTCGGCGCCGCTCGGGGCGGGCTCGGCTTGGCCGCACTCGGCTCGGCTCGGCTCGTCTGTCCCCGGCTCGAGCTCGCTTTGGCCGGACTCGTTTTGGTTCGGCTCTGCCCGTTCGGGTTCGGATCGGGATCGGTGGCCCCTTATCCCGCGCCTTGTTGTTGAAGGGTGCGAAAGGCCCACGAGTCGGGGACTGTCGGTTCTGCCGTTTTCTGGGAGCGCCTTTTCTCTAGTAAATCTTAAGGTGAATTCTACCAGGGCTCTGTTTTCAGCAGTTAAAACTGTCCCTGTGGTCAGGCCACTGTTTCCTCTCAAGCAGCGAGCGAGTCAGGTTGGCCCGAGCTTATTTTCTGAGCCGCTGTCATCTTGTTTACTTTCAGTCGTTTTCCTCGGTGCCGCCTCGGGTATATAGGTGAGCACCCGAAATAGACACCCTGGGCCCGAGGGGAGATAGCAGCGATGAGCAACGCCTTGTTGCCAAAGGGTTTTGCGAAGTGACTGCAACATAATTAATATTTTGTTCTATGTTAGGAATTGTCAGTGGCTTTGAGGGGGGTGCAGGCGAAACTTGGTCAAGACCAGGAGATTTTGGTTTTTAACTAAGCAGTGTACCAATTTCTAAGTGGTTAATAGAGCATTTGAAGCAAGAAACAATGATGCTTTTGTCTGGTTACATAAAGCGTCACCGCGGATTAAGTGAGATTGTTGGGGTTTTTTCCATCCTCTGCCCAAATGCCTGAAGCAAAAATTACAGAGAGAGAAGACTTTTATTACCAGAGAGCTTGTTAATGTATTTAACTTAGTGTATGATTAGGACTGTTGTTACGGACACTAAAAATGACATTATTACTGACATTATTAGCTGAAAATCAGAAGACAAAAATTATTGAGTATTCTGGGGTTATTTTAGCCCACCATATTTTTTTCTCTCACTATCTGTTTCTAGTAAAACAACCTCTTGGTTAAGTATATTTTTTATTAGTAAGTTGTAAAACTTCAAGTGTTTTGCAAGGAAGTCATTGGAACTGTCACGCTGTATTGGAACACGGATGGTGTTTCTCTGATAACTGCTCATCTCAGCTTTAAAACATCATACTTAGCAGGCATGTTGTTTTGAAAAGTGCACAGAGAAGTATTTTTTTTTTAAAGAGTGTGTGAAAACATAGAAGAAAACATTGCCAATAGAGAGCTTCCCTCATAATCTCTAATGATTAGGTGCATGTTTGCCCTCTGACATGCCCGGTGTTTTGTCAGTTGTTGGAAAACTCAGAGCTACAGTTGCATGGTGAAGAAGTTAGTGGTAAAAATTGCTAATTCATTTTTATGAATGCCAGCCAACGTTTGATAAAAGATTTCCAGGCACTGTTGTAAGACAATCACTTTCCCTTTGTTTTTATATTATGCTTCCAAAAAGTAGTTGGCATGTACATTTTAAAGTATTATCATTTGTTTGAGAGTTTCAAACTTAGTAAAAAATTACATGGAATTCTATGAGCTGGTGTGTGTTAGTGCTTAAGGAAAGCTTCTGGTTTTTTGTTTTTATTCAAAACAAACTTGAACATCAGGAAGAGCAGGACACATTGTCCACAGATAATTTTTAGGGTGTTTTTTTTTCCTAACTGGAATACCTTTAAATATTCATCCTCAAAGCAAAATACAGTAATAACTCTTAATGTTGGCAAGACTGAAAACATTCTTACACAAACCTTTAGATTTTATGTGTGGTTGTTCAGTTTTGTTTTACTGTTGTGACTTTGAAAGTTACCACTTTAGATTTAGAGAATGCACTGATAAGCAGCAGGGGAAAATAACCCTTTCCATTACTAAACAGGATTTTTTTTCCTTTTTTTTTAAGTGAGTTAGTGGATGGCTGAAATTTGGCTTGACTATTGAGTTGCTGAAATGTTTTGCTGCTTGAGAACCGTAAGAAGGTATGGCATGTTGCTGACTTAATTCATCTTTAGCATATGTATATGTGTGTATGTATGTTTTTGTATATGACTTGCATATATGTGAAACTGGTTTGGTATTTTTGTTTGGTGCTCATTTCTTCGATGTTCTCATCTTTACAGCTTGAAGCTTTCACCAGAGCATCCACAGTTGAAAATTCCCAAAAGCAATATGCCTGTCCTCCAGTGAGACCCTAAAAAGGCTCTCAACAAAACAAGGGGTTTAAAATAGCTTAATTATGAGAAGGGTTAGTCCAGATATGAATATGATGTCCAATATATTACTGCACTACTGAGTTATTAAAGCTCAGTGTTTCAAAATGTGTGAATATGTCTGTAACTATGAGCTTAA